GAGGGGCGGTGTGGGAAATCAAGGGGTAAAGGGGTAGCTGGCCACGGTCCTCACCTGCCTGGGATCATTGGGATGTAAGGGGCAGGGCAACGGCAGGGCGAGGGCAGGGCGAGGGCAAGGTGAGGGCAGGGCAGCCACTCCTCGCTCCCCTGCAGGCTCCCTGGCCCCAAGCCTGTCTGAAGGTGCCGGGAGGCCAGTCTCCAGGTGCCCAGAGGTGGAGAGAGGAGGGGACTGTTATTTCAAGGAATCCCCACGGCAAGTGCCTCTGCTGCTGGGTCTGCAGGGAGGGCACAGGGCGGGCGGGCGGGCGTCAGGCGGCACCCTGTGCCCTGGGACACTGCCTCGGATGGGACTCAGATGGGACGTGGGACTCGACTTCAGGGGCTTCTGCTCCCCTCTCGTCTCGGAGCGTGGTGTCCTGGGCCGGTCGCGCTCACAACGGGGGAGTGCTCTCACCACCAGCTTACTGACAGGAGGGCTGAGGGCCCAGAGGCTTCTGGCTGGTGCCACCAGCCGGGATCCGTCCACCCCAGGGAGGTGGCGGTGCCAGCGGCAAATGCCCGGTCACCAGTGTGGGGACAGATTCCACTCGGCCCCCAGCAACTGCAGACTGGGGTCAGACAGCGGCTGCCATGGGACTGTGTCTCCACAACTGTGAACAGCGGTAAATTCTAATGCGTTGCGACCTGTGACTTGGGGGGCCGGCAGGTGGGATTCGTCCTCCATCCCTTGCCTCCCCTGTGAAGGCGCTGGGTAGAGCGCAGGACCGGCTGCTGGGGAAGCAGAAGGGCTTTCGCTCCGGGCAGCCAAGGGGCTGAGCTGCCAGGGGTGGCCTGACTCTCTCCTCAGCGACCTGGAAGGCGAGGCCAGGAGGTCTGAGAAGGAGAGAAGGCGTCTCCTTGCCCTCACAGGGTGTCTATGAGGATGCAATGAGGGAAGCATCTGGATTAGCATGCCAAGAAAGGGGAGCCTGGGAACGCAAGTGCCCCCATCTCATCCAGGAAGCTCCTAGCTGTCCAGGGCCTGGAGGGAGGGCCAAGGAGACGAAGTGGGGGACCCGGACAAATTAAGTCAGAGGTGCTGGGAGAGCCCCCAAAGCCCGGTCCGCGGTGGCCAGGGAGGCCTGGCGCAGGGGGGAGAGGACTCCTGGGTCTCTGGTTGGGTGGACATGAGTCACGGGGCCCAGGGGCAACAGGTGTCAAAATGTCCAGGCCTGCAGCTGAGCTATCTCCTACCGTGCCTGTCGCCCCCCTGGGTAGCAGCCTGTTGAAAGTCACGGAGCCATGGGGAGGCGGGCCAGGGAGCCCACAGCGGGTCTGCTCCCACCACCCACCAGTGCAGGCCAGTTTGGGCCAGGATGGAGCAAAAGCCAGAAGGTCCGAGTCCCCCTCTGTGGAGGTTTTCAACTCAATTAAGCCAATTAAGGTTTGAGAGATGAAAGAGTACAGAAATGGTATGTTCCCTGCCCTTTTGGTGCCTACAAACCGTTCTAGGCAGCCAGCCCAGGCCGGAAAGTCACTTCTGTTCTTGGCCATTTCGGTGATGGCTGCTGTCCTTATTCAGACGGAGGGAGGCCGTTGCCCAGGCTTGCGGAGAACCCAGGGAAACAAGAGTATATGCTGCTTGGTCTCTCCAGCGGCCACCAGTCACTCAAGACAGACCTTGATTTTACTGATGCCCCCTGTACCCGGTGGCCTGTGGAGTTAACGAAGAGGAAGTTTAGCAGGACCACCGTCTCCGGCTTAAGGGGCCCCGAGCTGGGGGTCATGGCGTTCCCAAGGCTCCCGGCTCCTCCTGGGCCACCCAGGCCCCGCTCACTCACTCCTCCAGGACCCTGTCCCCACCCAGGGCTGACCATGCGGTAGACTTCTTGCCGAATCAATAACCATGTGTCTCTCAGAGCTGATGACCCAACTGCGGGAAAGACCCGCTCACGGGTCGTTGTCATGCCAAGCGGAGCGAAGTAGAGCCAGTCGCGCGATCCTGGACTCGGCAGCAATCGCTTTTGGTGGGGACCCTCTGGAGAACAGTCCGCTTGAATGGCCGCTCAGATTCGTCAGAGGCCATTGGGGGAGAGGGGACAGAAAGGTGTGGCAGCCAGGCTGTGTGCTGTGGCAGGGCCAGCAGTGCTGTGGGCGTGTGTGGACAGACCGGTGTGGGGCATGGCTGAACAGCCAGCGCACGACAAGAGCTGGGGGGGTGGGGGGGTCCTTTGAAGGAATGTGGCCTTTTGCTTGACGGGGCAGGGGAGGACTGAAACACGGGCTCGGCTTTCCGGAGGCCAGTGCAGCTTGGAGGCAGAGAGGGTGACAGCACCTGAACTGGGCAATGCGGTGACCAGAGCACGGTGGTGACCAGCCACCCGACTGGAGGGAGGCCTGTGGGGTGCTGGTCGGCACGTGGGGCCCGGCGGGGGCCGAGGGAGAGAGAGCGGGCTGCGGCGCAGGCAGGGTGCCGGGGGTACCGAGGCGTGGAGCGACGGCAAGGCCAGCCACGGGGCTGCGGCGAGGGCAGAAGGCCAGGCCTCGACTCCCTGCCCGGTCCCCTTACCGTGAGTCACCTTGGGCCCAGCTGGCCGCAGTGGCGACAGCACACCAGTTAGGAGCAGCCCAAGGCCCCGGCTGCTGCTTAATGGAGGGCAGGGCCACACCTGGGGACAGGAGCAGGGAGCGGGGGGCGGGGGGAGATGAAGCCGCCCTTGGGTGAGCCCTGGTTGTCGGGGCGGAGGCCCGAGAGCCCACCCAACCATGGGCGGTTGACTGGGTCACCCCCTGGAACCCACCAGTGTCATGTGGGCGGGGCTGGGTGCCTTTCAACTGGTCTCCACAGAGAGGGTGTAGAGGCCAAAAGGATAAAAGGAACAAATTGTCCATCTGGCTTCCCTTTTAGAGAGAAGTGCTGGAGAGGCCCTGGTAGCTCGTTGGGTCGACTTTGCAAGGTCTTGGAATGCAGGGGCATCAGAGCCCCGGGTGAGCGCTGGCCACTCCCCTCAGCCAGGGCTGGGAACTCTGCTCAGGGACAAGTGACTCACATATTTGCTGGGTGCCCCCCATCCTACCGGAACTCACCGCGCCCATTGGTCAAAGGCAAAGCGGAGCGTCCGCGGATGAACCCGGCCCCGCCCTCCCCTCCAGCAACCAACAGGCTAGGGGGCTGGGGAGACAGAGCCCGACCCCGCCAGTTTCACCCAGGGTGCTGCCTTCTGGGAATGGAGAGACAGGGGCACGGAGCTCAGGGCGGAGAAAGGAGGGGAAGGAAACCGCTGCGGGGGAATGACGGCCCGCGGCGTCTGCAGAGGGCCGCGGAGCTCGGGTGGCCCGAAAGCTGCTATCACGGCCTCCAGCGCCTCCTGAAACCCTGCAGTCAGAAGCGGGACACCCAGGCGTCCCTGTGGCTCTGCCACTTCACCTGGCCAAGCCTCAGTTTCCCGAGCTGACAGATGGTAGAGGATTCCTGCTGTGCCCACCTGGCTGGGCAGGTGCGTTCACAGAGCACCCCAGAAGGAGCCTGCCCTGCCCCCACCCCTCCTGCAGCCCCCCTCCGTCGTCTCCCGGCTTCTGCCCCTACAGTCCATCATCACCCAGCAGCCCTCTGCTCGGTGGTGACCTCTGCCGCTCGTGGCCTCATGGGATCCGCCTCCTTCCTGGTATCAGAACACTCTTCCCTCCCTGGCCCCCCGGCCCCAACCGAAACTGCGCCCCCACTGCTCTGAAGCTCTTATCTCCATCTCTCCCACCAGCGGGAACTGCTAGGCACCCATATCCCGGCCAGAGAGTGCAGGGACCCATCCAGTCCTGCCCACCCCTCTGTCCCCAGCAGAGGTGGCCAGCACGGGCACACAGTAGATGCTCAGTAAAGATTGGTCAGATGGTGAACAGCAGGGACAGGAGGTGGGGAGATGCGTGGGAGCGGAGAGGACGGTGCATTCGTGTGTCCGCCATCTTGTCCCCACATCTTCTGGCAATGAAGGCTGCTCCATGCAGAAAGTATCTAGAGAGTTAACACTTAGGTGCCCAAACTTTTAAAACCTGGCTCACTTTGGATGGACATTAGCTGAGGTGCCTCTCTGTCTCCCAGACCTCTCTGGCGGGACTGCCTTAAGTACGTGAGATTTTTCTTGACAGCGTGAGGCCAGTGTCCAGAGGAACTGAGGCCTCCACCATGTTCCGAGACCCCCTGAGGCCTGTGGGCATGGGGGAGTGGACCTTGTTTCCCAGGGACCTTGGTCTCATCCCCTGAGGACTGTGGCACGTCCATGCTCCTGGCGTCCGCTGGCCTCACAGAGAGGTAAGGGCTCTCCTGAGAGCAGAGGCCACGAGGCTCTGGGTTACTGTGTTTCCATGGGCGGTTCTAGATCAGAAACCTGGATTGGTGGCCGAGTTCTGCTTCCAAGAGGATCCTTCTGAGCCAGGAGCTTCCCCAAAGGTGAGGGATCGGGCCCAACGGAGCCTCACCGCCAGGAGGCTTCTTTGCTGGTGTGAAGGCCAAGGCCACATGCGCTGAGACTGATTCAGTCCGGGGAGCTTAGTGCACGGCCTTGGGGGATGCTACCACTCATACTCAGGCCACAAGCTGGGAATGAGAGGTGGGGAAAGGCCAGCAGGAGGAGCTAGGGGCCCGAGGAGGGGCGGCCCAGCAGGCCCCCGTGGCCCGCGCCACCAGACCCTGTGAAGGCGGCAGGCAGGGCAGCCAGGTGCCGAGGTTCCTCAGGCAGGTGGGTTGGTGGCGGCGGGGTGTGGGGACAGTGCGAGGGACGACAACTTTCTGACGCTCTGCTGTTAACCTGGAGGGCAGAGGGGCGTGGAGGGGAGTGGGTGGCACTGTGCTGTGGGCCAGGGTGACGGAGAAGTCACCAGTGACCTGTGGCTGCTTTCCACTTTCTCCTCCACCCTCCCCTTCCGCTCTCTGCCTCCCTCCCTCCTTCCCCTTCCCTCTCTCCCTCTCCCCTCCTTTTACCCGCCCCACCGCACCCCCCTTCCTCCCTTGCCCCCCCACCCCAGGTCCCCTCAAGGCAGCAGAAACACCCTGCACGCTAAGCCTTGACCTAGCGCTCAGCTGGCTCTGTCCATGGCTTGGCCTGCTCCCCGGAACCCTGCACAGTGCCAGGCCTGAAACCTTGAGCCGCAGAGGCCGCGCCAGAAGACCACTGCCCCCAGGGATTTATAGCATGCCGGCTGCACCGGGCGAGTCTTAATCAGGCAAGCGTGGGAGCGTGCTGGAGCAGACGAGGAAAGCTCGAGGTTGGGCACAGGCACAGATAACCTAACCGCGCCAGGGCAAGACCAGCCACTGTTCAACCCTGACACGTCACCCCTGCTTCGGTGTGGGTTCCCAGATGCACTAGGGGGCAGTGAGAGCCTCGCATCCCAGGTTGGCTACTGCTGGCGGCGGCAGGTCCCCACCAGGAGCCTCTGACGCCGCCTGCTTCCCCACGCAGCGAGGGTGAGCTGGCAGGTGGGCCTGGGAGGGCAGTTCTGCATTCAGTGAGTCGTGGCTCAGACGGAGTGCAGATTTGCAGAGAACATTCCAGGAGAGTGGACCTTGGTTTTTTCTCAACCGAGCCCCGGGCTTCTTCTCACCTCCTTCTCCCCAGGTGTCTGTGTGCGGCCACTTCCCTCTGCCGCCGCCTCGCCGCACCTCACCCAGGCGCTGGGACCTTGGAGGACACCCTCCCCTCCCGCGCCACAGGCAGGATGGGGGACGTGGCCAACAGTTCCATCGAGTTCCACCCCAAACCCCAGCAGCAGCGGGAGGCCCCCCATGCAGGGGGCTTTGGGTGCACACTGGCTGAGCTGCGCTCCCTCATGGAGCTCCGAGGGGCCGAGGCGCTGCAGAAAGTCCAGGAAACCTACGGGGATGTGGGCGGGCTCTGCAGGAGGCTGAAGACCTCACCCACGGAGGGTAAGTCTGCCAGCAGAGCCCTGGCACGGGCGGCGTGTGCGCCGGGGATGCACGGCCCTGCACCGCCCCTCACTCCTCCCTGCAGACGTTCTCTAGCCCCGGGGGCAGGCCCCGTCAAGGGCTGGGTGGGCTTGCAGCAGCTTCCCAGAGGCACGCCTGACCACGACCATGACCATGGTCGTGCCTGTGCGCTCCCATTTCCCCGTGAGTGGGACATGCTCTGTGTGGGGCAACCCGACCCCCTGCACCTGTGCGTCCGTAATCAGCAGTTCCCGCTTGCATCTCTTCTTTGGATTAACTAGAAATGGAACGACAGAGAAGAGGAAGGGAGAAGCCGGCACCGAATCGCACATGCTGGCGGGATGGGCCCCAAACTGAAACCCCAGCAGCTCTTCCAAGAGACGAGCGGGGCAGCCCCTGACCGAGTGCCCCCGGTTCCCCATGTGCTCGGCCCTCTGTGCAGTTAAGGGGGGCAGGAAGAGGAGGAAAGGCGTAGGGTTCGGTCCTCTAGGGAGGGGCTTGGGGGGGGGCAGGTATACTGCTGAGTGGAGGTGGCACCAGCGCAGGCCATCCTGAAGAGGTCCAAATCTGAGACGGTTGATCTCTGAGATCTGCTGCAGGGAGCCTCTAGGGAGCCTGGGGTGTGTCCTCTAGAAGGTTCTAGGGGTGGAGGCCTGATTGCCACCTTGGTCCCCCCCTCTGCCCTGTGGCCCTTTTCCCCTGCTCCAGAGCAGACGTCTGCCCTGCCCTGCACCAGCCTTCCCCAGTCCTGCCCGCTGGGTGTGCTGGGAGGCCGGGACCCCGGGAGCCAGGCTTGGCCCCAGTTTCCAGAGGCCGGAGCATTTCTGGCCCAGCTGCCGCTTCCCCGGCAGGGCTGCTGGTGCCAGGGCTGCTGCCGGCCAGTGCCGGCCGATTGCATCAGCTCCTGTCTCGGCTATCACACCTCTGTCCACCCAGGGCCCTGGCCGCCACCCTTGTCTCCTGCTCTCTGGCTCCGTCTGTGTGCAGGTGACACCTGGGCTGGAACGGGGAGTGGAGATGCCTCCTGCCCCCGCCCCCCCTGCAGAGGAGGTGGGCCTGAGGCTGGGTGAGGGGGCGCCCGCACGGCCAGCTCAGGAGCTCCGGGGGGCCGCCTGGGTCTCTCCTGCTTTGTGCTCTAAAGGGACCCGGCCTGGTGTGGGTGTGTGATCGGGGCAGATGGCTTGGTTCAGGGCCGGAGGAGCTCTCTCCTGCTCTCCTCCTCGCCCATCCCCTCCCCCCAGCCCCCGGACTTGGGGCCGGGGGTGGGGGGGGGGGAGGCCGGGGTGGAGGGCCATTTAGCCGCAAGGGCTCTGGCCTCTCCCAGATGAAAGGAAGCAGATGGGCTTCAGCTGGTAGCTCTTTCCTCTGCCTGTCAGGCCTTGTTAAATATGTAAAATGTCAAGGCCCCTGGGAACGCACCCGATTCTGCCACAGAGGCTCTGGCGCTCGCTCGGTGCCTGCGGAGGGGCGGGCGTAAAGAAGGGCGGGTGCCCAGGTGGGTGGCCCCAACAGAGGGACCCCAGCCTGGCTTGGTCTGCATCCCGAAGAACGAGCGGTTCGAGGACCACCCTCCCATCTCCGACCCTGGGAGCCCTCAAGGCCCCAGGGTTCTCACCTGGACGTTCCCGCTCCTGCTTCAGACACAGTGACCTGAGCTGGGGGAGGGGCAACTTAGCTGAGCCCAGGCCCCCCGCACACCCCCTGGCAAGGCGGGCAGACTCTGGGGTGCCGGCAGACTGGTGCTTTGGGGAGGGTGAGGAGACCAGGGCGCTGCGCGCTCTACTGGAGGAGGGCACTTGCTGTTCTCCGGGCAGCAAATACATCAGTGGCTCCGCACTGTCAGCTATCCAGGAGGATTCCAGAAGCCAGGGAAGCCAGCTGGGTCTTAGGCCGAGCTGGGGAGACCTGGGCCCCGGCCCTTCCCCCGTTTGGCCTCCACTGGCACTCGTGGAAAGGAGAGGGCAGATTAGCCGAGAGCTGCCCCATGTGGTCCTAATCCAATTCTGATGGCATCTGGCCTCTGCTCTGGGCAGGGTGCCCACCTGAGTCCATGCCAACTGCCGGCCACTGCCCCTGCACCCAGGACCTGGGCCACCTCAGGGGCCCTGCTGGACCAGTGCGTGCTCAGAGCCAGAGGGGCTGCAGCTGCCTTCGGTCACCCCAGCAAGCACTTCGGCAACAGCAGCTCTCCGGACCCCTGAACCCACAGGAAGGCCAAGGCCTCTGGCTGGTCTAGAGCAAGGCATAGAGAAGTACTGCTGCCGCACCAAGGGCAAACCAAGGCCAAGGGACAGGCTGAGGGAAGGAGGGAGGGAGGGAGGGAGCTCCTGGGGAAGGGGCCCTGAGGGCCCAGCTTCCTGCGGGGACCAGCTGGGCATAGGGGGCAGGGCAGGCAAGATGCAGATTCCCGAGGCGTGACGAGGACCCATGGGCTCTCTAGAGGGTGCGGGGGCCCCTATCGTTCTCGGGGCCTCCAGATCAGTGCCCTTTGCCAGGGCGGGGATAGTGGAGACCCTGAGTGTCTGGGAGATTCAGGGTTCGAGGACCTTCCCAGTAATAACCCCACTTTTCACATCTCCTGTAGGTGAAGGGAGTGGGACATGGGCCCTGAGCTGGGTCCCCAGCCCTTAGGAGCTGAGGTCCTGAGCTTCTCCCAGACGCCCAACTGGGAGGCCACAGCCTCCAGAAACTTGAGCCGTGGCCGGGCCCAGGCACAGTGAGGCAGGGGAAGGGCAGAGACAGCTGTGGCTCCTGCTGGGTGGGGCGGACAGTGTGCGGTCATGGCCTAGCTCGGGAGACGTGCCAAGGCGGTGTGTCTGGGGGCTTTTGCTCTTGTCAGTCCTTCCACCCCGAGGGGCCCCCCTCCCCCCTCCCCCCTCCCCTCCCCCCCCCCCTCCCCCTCCCCAGAAGCCACCTTTCCCTGTTCAGCACACACCCACCCTCCTTCCTTCCAACCCCTTTGCACCACACCCAGCACTTCCTTGTTCTCAACTCATCTGGGACCCGGTCTTGTGTGGCTTTCCAAGCCAGCAGGGGGCACCCCAAGGGCTGGCACCCGGGTCCTTCTGGTTGCCCACCCCCTGCCCCTCCCCTCCCCCCTGAAGGCCTGGGGAGTGGCAGCTACTCAGGTCTGGGAACTGCAAGCCACTGTCTGTCCACGAGGTGTCAGTGTGGGACCAGGCACTTGGGGGCAGAGAAGCCAGAAAGGCTTGGGGGGACTGGGGGGTGGGGGGCCCGTGGATGGGCCTGGAAGGAAGCAGAGTCCCAAGCGCTGAGGTCGGGGCCAGGGGACTGTGTCATCCCATCTGCCTGCCTCTGGGGAAGATGGCCAAGTGGATGCCTGGCCTTCGGAGGCAGTGGCCTGGATACCAGTCCCACATGGAAGCTTTCGGTACCTTCAGGAATGGGCCTGAGGAGACTCATGCTCTAGAAGGAGAGACCCAGCGGCCTTGGTGCAGGCCTGGGTGGGCAGTGGGTCGTCCCAAGACTGAGAAGTCAGGGCCCAGCTTCCAAAAGCTGGGGCGGGCCCCCTTGTGGGTGTTGATTCTGAGCCGCTGCGCAAACCGGCCCCCCTCCCTCCCTCCCTCCTGGCCCACACAGCTTGTCGGGGCTGCGGAGGGGACTGTAGTTCCTGGAGCTCCGCAGGCGCATCAGGAGGATGGTCCCCCGTTCCTTGCGCTCGGGCGCGGTTGCGCACCGGTGCCCTCCAGGCAGCTGGAGAGGCTGCCAGCGCTCCCGCCTACATGTCCCCAGGGTTTGCAGAAGGGCTCCAGGTGCCAGGCCAGTGCAGTGCCCGCTTTCTGGGAGCTATCAGTGTAGAGGGAAAGACAGGCACGGAGAAAGGAGCAGGGGGATGCGGGGCTGGCCTTTCCCATCCTCTCCTTCTGTGCCTCTGCTCCACGTGCCCACACTGCGCAGGCCTGGCCGACAACACCAATGACTTGGAGAAGCGCAGGCAGATCTACGGGCAGAACTTCATCCCTCCCAAGCAGCCCAAGACCTTCCTACAGCTGGTATGGGAGGCCCTGCAGGACGTGACCCTCATCATCCTGGAGGTGGCCGCCATCGTATCCCTGGGCCTCTCATTCTATGCGCCACCTGGAGAGGAGAGCGAAGGTGAGGGGCAGGGCTGGGAAGGGCGGTGAAGGAGGACCTGGTGGACGGGGGCGGGACGCGGGTGGCAGCGCAGAGGTGCTGGCAGGAGGAGGGGAGGGATAGAGCCTGAGATGACGGGGGGAGGAAGGAGCTGGCAGAGGGACTTCTCTGCCACCTCTGCCCTTCCCTCCTGTCCTCGGGCACAGCGTGCGGGAATGTGTCGGCTGGGGCAGAAGACGAAGGGGAGGCCGAGGCGGGCTGGATTGAGGGGGCCGCCATCCTGCTGTCTGTCATCTGCGTGGTCTTGGTCACGGCCTTCAACGACTGGAGCAAGGAGAAGCAGTTCCGGGGCCTGCAGAGCCGCATCGAACAGGAGCAGAAGTTCACCGTCATCCGGAACGGGCAGCTCCTGCAGGTCCCGGTGGCTGCGCTGGTGGTAGGGGACATCGCCCAGGTCAAGTATGGTGAGCGCGCCCATCGCCACCCACGCTGCGGAGGGGCTCAGCTCCCACGTCAGGGGCAGGCCTTCTCCGGGGAGCACGTGGGGTGGGAGGCTGCAGGCGGGCAGCTCGGGCAGCAGGCCCAGCAAAGACGGGGCGTGTCAGCGGCCTCAGCGCCCCAGGAGCAGGCTGTCCCCACAGCCTGTCGAGGGCCTCCCCAGCACGGCAGGGCGCTCCTGTGGGCCCCATTCCCTGGAAGACGGATGACAGGGCTAGGAGTGGGTGGGTACCCCCAGAAAGCAGAGCAAAGGAAGAGGGCCGCACACCCGACAGGACCTCCTCTGGGGGAGATGGGAGGCGACATGGAGGAAGGCCTCCTGGACGCATGGTCTGTGGTTCTGGCCACCTGGCCGGCCTTAGGAGACCTGCTGCCCGCCGATGGCGTGCTCATCCAGGGCAATGACCTCAAGATTGACGAGAGCTCCCTGACGGGCGAGTCGGACCACGTGCGCAAGTCGGCAGACAAAGACCCCATGCTGCTGTCAGGTGAGCCCAACGGGACCGGAGTCCCTGCTCCTGGAATGCCCAGGACAAAACCTGTAGGTGCTGAGCAAGCCTCCCATCCAGCGGTGCAGATCTCTGTCTCAGCCTCTGTGTGTTGCTGTGCCAGGCACTCATGTCATGGAAGGTTCTGGAAGAATGGTGGTGACAGCCGTTGGTGTGAACTCCCAGACAGGCATCATCTTTACCTTGCTTGGGGCTGGTGGAGAGGAGGAGAAGAAGGATAAGAAAGGTAAGGCAACAGTACCCTGCAGTTCCCAGTGCCGCCAGGCCGCTGGCCCTCGGACGTAGCCGCGCTCTCTTCCACGCCTGCCTGGTGACGGCCCCTTGCTGGCCCAGGCCCTGGCTCTGGCACTGGGGAGAACCAGCCCTCAGGGGGTGGGGGGCCATACCCTGTCTCCTGGTTCCTTTTGGAGACCCCTCTTCTGGGGTCTTTGCCCCAGAGCCAGCAGGTTGGGGGCCCCCCGTTTTGTGTGAGGCAGTTTCCCTCGGATGGCTCTTCCCCTAAGGCTTTGGGGGCGTGGGTGCCAGGGTCGGGGGAGTGCCCTGCCTGGGTAGGAATGGGGTTGGAGGGACAGGGACCAGCCACCCGGACTTGGGAGTGGTCAGCCCACATGGTGAGGCACTGAGGGCCCCAGGCCAACGTGGCAGCTAGGGAAACACAGGCCATGCAGCCAAAGGTGGAGGGCTCCCAAGCAGAAAGGACTAGACACCCCAAAGGACATCCAGGGCCAGAGGAAGCTGAGATGGGGCCAGGGCCCTCACCCTAAGAGAAAGCAGTGTCGAGGGACAGATGTCTTCTGGCGGCCCAGCTCTGTATTCACCCTGGCCTACCTGGCACACGGCTACCCAGCTGCCTCCTCTTGCCAGCGTCCCGAGCCCCAGGCGTGGCTGGTGCCCCCTCCACTCCTCAGAACAGGGTTTACAAAGCTCTAGAGCTCGGCCAGCATCCCCCCCCCCCGCCCCCATCCCAGTCAGGACCCCGATCCCTTCCACGACTCAGGCCTGCATCTGCTCACCTTGCTCTAACCTGGGTCTCCCCTCAGGCCACTCCTGCCATCAAACCAGGTAAGGAATGACGTTCTCTAGATGTGCACCCCACCTCTGAGGGAAGCCACCTGGGCCCACTAGAAGTACAAAGACACGCACGAGTACGGGGAGACCACGTGCCAGAGCGTGCAGCCAGGGCCCTGGGGACAGGGCGTGCGGGTCACCAGCTCCGCCTCAGTCAACCGAGCCTGCTGGGCCTGCAGTGCAGGCGGGATCGGTCTGCCCAGCCCAGTAACGTGGGGACAGGTCAGCGTAAGGAAAGACGCACTAGTGTTCCCAGACCTGGGCACGTGAGGGAGGAAAAACGGATGAGCCGCTGTTGCCTAAAAGCCTCCATGGGCCCCGCCTCCTGGCAGCCTGGGCCTGGCTTCCCTTCCTGGACTCCTCCCTGCTCCTGGCCCACCCGGCCCACCCCTCACAGCCAATGGGCACTGGCGGACCTTCGGCCACCTTGGCCACACCAGGCCCCCCTCCCCGCAGGGCTCAGCCCGGTGTCTCGCCACAGTCAGCACCCTGGGGCCCACAGGAGGGCAAGTGGGTGGGTAGGCAGGCCCTGGGCCTCCTCTGGGCTGGACTGGAGTCCTTGATGGCTGCTTGGCAGGACGCCTCTTCCACATTCCTTCCCAGGCTCTTCCCCTCCCGCTAGGTTCCCTTAAATGTCACCGTCCTTCAGGACTCGGTCCTAGGCCCCTTCTCTTCGACCTTGACAAGACCCCTCCAGGCCCCCCCGCCGGCTCTCCCCCAGCCCCGGTTCCTCTCCCTGGCTTGCTGTGCCACTTGAGAGTCAGAGGGGACACCAGCAGCAGCTGGCTCCCTGGAGGAGGGGAACGTGGGGGGGCCCTGCAGGGGAGGCAGAGATGGCCAGGCTCCGGGGAGGGGGCAGCGGCACCCACGACCCCTCACCTCCCCCACGTCTCCGCCAAGGCCCTGGCCGCTGCAGAGGCCGGAAGGTGGCACCTCGCCCTCAACATCCCCCTCAACGCCCCCTGCCACCTCTCGATCTGTCCATCAAGGGCGCTGCTCGCCCGCCTGTCTCCTGCCTTCCGGCCTTGACCTCTTTCCCCACTCCTTCCCCTGCCTCAGCTATGCCCCTTCTCAGGCCAGGCCCAGCCCTCGTCTTCCCGCCGTGCTCATCTCAAACCTCCCTCCCTCCTCCAGAAGTTGCCACGGCCCCAGGGCAACACGCCCGCGCTGTGCTGCATTGTCACCCACCGTGTGTCTACAGGTGTCTCCCCTGCCCCGCCCCAGAAATCTCCTTCACCTATGAATGCCCCACAGGGCCCAACTGACACCCCACTGGGGCTGCGAGGGGACCTCTCCCTCCTCCCTGGGACCCCCAGACCAGACCCCACTGCCTGGGAGCCACCTGGCCTCCGGTCTGTGTCCCTGCGTCCCCAGTGACATGAGCTGTTGGGTCGTGGCTGACAAGCCGGCCCACTAGCCCTTCCTGTCCCAGGCTGGTCGTCTCTGGATCCAGGGCAGTGTGTGTGTGTGGCCTGCAGAGAGCTCTCCCGGCTGCTGCCCTGGGGCAGGTGAGGCAGGTGGAGCTGGGGGGCGGAGCCTGACCCCCAGCTCAGAGCCCGTCACCTGCCGGCTCTCCTGGGCCCTCCCAGAGTTGCAGTCCTTCCCGGGCCTCAGAAACCAGAGGCACAGCCAGCACTGTTTACCTTGGCCTGGGGAAGCTGGTCACTGCCCCAGTCCCTAGCACCCAGCTGTGGGCTTTATGGTGGCAGAGCACGTCTGTGAAGGCGCGCCCGCACAGCTCCAAGTGGGGCCCAGCCCGGCCGGTGCCCCTGCCGCCCCCTCCAGCACTGTGGGTGCCCTGAGGCTAGGCGTCTCGCTCCTTTATCCTCTAAAGCGCCCACGGACTTGACTGCTGGCCACGCTGCACAGAAAGCTGATCTCTAGGCCACCAGGACTTAGGAACCATCTAGGTCAACCCCCTCGCACTGGTTCTGGGGGGAGCACCCATCCCGACTGGGGGGCCCTGTTTGAGGCAGCAGAGCTGGGACCTGACACCTGGCAGCTCCCATTACCCGTGGTGCCGGCCCTTCCAGAAACCTCCCACTGCCGACCATGCGTGAGCCATGGTCTGTCCAGGGCTGGCCCGCGGCTTCTCTGGAGGGCTGGAGAGCAGGCCCTCTTCCCCCGCCCGCCCCTCACCGCACTCACCGGCTGTGCTGTCCTGTGTGCGTGTGTGTGTGCCAAGGCCCCACGGGTGTTCTCAAGTCTCCGTGTCTGTCGTTCCTCTCCCGTTGTAGGCAAGCAGCAGGATGGGGCGATGGAGAGTAGCCAGACCAAAGGTAACGCGCGCCCTGCGCTCAGGATGGGTGGCAGAGGGTGCGGCGCAGGGTGGGGGGCCGCCCGCCTCGGTTGCAGACCCCACCGGAAGTGCGCAAATATGGCCCGTGAGCCAGCAACCTGCTGAGGAAACTGAGGCTCCAGAGGGGTGACTCACCCAAGACTTAATCGGGCCTGTGGGTTTCCTGGTTCAGCTGCCTTTCTGCTGAGCCTTCGAGGCCTGCGCCCCTTTCAGCCAGAATGCCTGGTGGGTGCCGATACTCTGTAGCCAGGGTGAAGGGTTGAAGGTGCTGGGAATCCAAAGATGGATAAAGTACGGTCCTGGACCTCAGGAGGGTCACGATCCACAGACGTGAACCCAGGGGCAATACTCAAGTGCAGTGTGGGACCCAGGAACGCAGACAAACGACTGGAGTTCAGAGGCCGGCTGGGGTTGGGATGGCATTTGGGACAGGAGGACAGTCCAATGGCCAGGGCCCCGGGCAGGGGCAGGGAGTGGCAGTCAGTGGGGTAGAGGCTAGAGTGGCCCAGTGGGGTGGGACCTTGAGTGTCGCCGAGGCTGTGGCCCGAGGCCATGGAAAGAGGGGGCCACCGGTGAGTGGTCTCAGGCAGCCAAGGGGAGAAGGGATGGGCGGGGAGACGGAGAAAGAGGGAGCGGCTGACACTGCATGGTGGCAGGAGGCATGCAGAGGCACTGAGAGCCCCATTGGGTGGGGGGACAAGGACGAGTGGCAGGGTTGGGTGCCCCCTGCGGGTGGTGAGATTACACGGGGCGGCGTGTGAGGCGGTGGACGGGCCAGAGGCGGGTGTGGGGCAGGGGACACAGCACCACCACGTTAGGGTCCACCAAGGGGGCTGTGAGAGGGCTGCCGGTTCCGGAGAGGAGGTGGAGAGGCATCTAGGGGAGAGGAGGGAAGGCCCCATGGCGAGAGAAAGGTGCAAGGCTTGCCCGCCAGCAGCCGGGGCATGGGCTGAGGACGGCGCACGTGCTGAGCTGGGGCCCCGATGGAAGTCCAGGCATCCACCGGAGGGGTGTCCACCTGAGGGCTGGCAGGAGAGACAGCCTGAGCGGGGATTCCTGGGCCTCCCTGAGGGGAGTGGGAACGTGGCTAAGACAGCAGTGGGCAAGAGTCAGCTCTGGGTTCTGGAACATTCCATGGGCCCCAGGCCTCTGCTTTCAGGTATTGAGATTTGGGGCGTTACAGGACTGGCCACGCTGTCTGTGTGCCCAAGTGCTTGTGTCTGTCCTCCCTTCCCCTGCGAGGCCCCAAGAGAAGCATCTCTGTCCTGCCCAGGACAGCGCTGGAGCCACTGCCCACCTCAGGAGGGCCTGGGCTGATGAGAGAGGAGGGAGAGGACAGAGCCCCCTGTTTCCTCTCGGATGGTGTGGCATATCTTTCTCCGTGAAAGGCCCTTGTAGCCGTCACCCCAGCGGCCAGGCCCTAACCTTGGCTGCGGGTTTCTTCTGTGTGCAGCTAAGAAGCAGGATGGGGCAGTTGCCATGGAGATGCAGCCCCTGAAGAGCGCAGAAGGTGGGGAGACGGAGGAGCGGGAAAAGAAGAAAGCCAACGTGCCCAAGAAGGAGAAGTCGGTCCTTCAGGGAAAGCTCACCAAACTGGCTGTGCAGATCGGGAAAGCAGGTGGGGGCAGCCGAGGGGGCGGCCCAGGGGCCACCAATGGGCAGGGGCGGACACTGGGCTCCCGGACTCGAGGCCGGACCAAGGAGAACAAGTGGAAAAGGGATGTGACGTGGGGTGTGGGCCAGGCAGCAAGGGCACGGGCTAGGAGCAGGTGATGGCCTTCAGGGCCTGGTTCCGCCCCCTCTGGCGAGCGTGGACTGCAAAGCTCCGTAAGGCCAGAGACAAGGAGCGCCTCCCCCGACTCGGGGTCAAGGGAATGTGGCTGCAACGCCCCTTAGCTCTTCCCTCTTGCTGTCTCCCCCTCCCTCACCCCTGCCGGCCACCCTTCCCGCCTCCACGCTCCGTGGCCTCTGATGTGGCTGGGCAGGGCTGGTGATGTCCGCCGTCACCGTCATCATCCTGGCCGTCTACTTTGTGATCGAGACCTTCGTGGTGGATGGCCGGGCGTGGCTGGCAGAGTGCACACCTGTCTACGTGCAGTACTTCGTCAAGTTCTTCATTATCGGTGTCACTGTGCTGGTTGTGGCTGTCCCAGAGGGCCTGCCTCTTGCTGTCACCATCTCCTTAGCTTACTCTGTCAAGGTAATAAAATAAACACGACACAAATAAGAATTCCGCGATCCCAGGGTACAGACCCAGAACTTGTGGTGCAAAGCCGTTAAGCAACTTGGACGAAGCAAGGACTGGATGAAGTTTGGGATTGCTCAGGGGAAGAACGGTAGGCCAAGCAGGGGCGCGGAGCTGGACTTGCACATCCTCGCCTACCTGGCTCCCTGGGCAGGGGTGTGTGACGAGCTAGCATCTGCAGGATGTGGGCAGGGTCGCCGAGGGGCCAGGGAGTTGAGGTGGGGGCAGGGGGATAGGGGGCCCCTGGGAGACAGTGGGCAGGGCAGAGATCGGGGTGGGCAGGGGAGCCACAGGGCCTGCAGGTGACCCGAGAGGGGGCTCTGGGCAGCAGGGAGGCTCCAGCTGAGCTCCAGGGAGAGTGGCCACCCAGAGTTGACTGCTCGGCCTGTCTGATGAGAGTCCTTACGTCTCACAGGCCCGCTGCCTCGGTTTGACCACCACCCCACTGCCATCTGAGCTGTGCACCTGCTGCCCGAGGTCCCGGGCTGTTAGTGCCGCGAGGAAAGCTGGTGGGCGGAGCAGAATCCTACATGCCGTTGTGCTCCCCCACCCCGCGAGGACAGCTGGCTACCCCAAGCCTCCATCTGTGCCCTTTACAGAAAATGATGAGGGACAACAACCTGGTCCGCCACCTGGACGCCTGTGAGACCATGGGCAATGCCACGGCCATCTGCTCAGACAAGACAGGCACGCTCACCACCAACCGCATGACCGTGGTGCAGTCCTACCTCGGGGACACCCACTATAAAGAGGTTCCGGCCCCCAGCGCCCTGACCCCCAAGATCCTCGACCTCCTGGTCCACGCCATCTCCATCAACAGTGCCTACACCACCAAAATACTAGTGAGCTGGGAGCAAGGGCGGGCCGAGGCGGGGGTAGGATGAGGGGAGGGAACCTGGCCCGGCTATGGCGTGGGCGTCACCAGGGGCTTGCTAGGCTCTCTTAAGGACTTTTGAGCCGAGAGCCACAATCGTTTCTGGGGTGCTGGTCTCCCTCCTCGTCCCCGGACACTGGGCGGGGCCTGCAGGTTCTGGAAGCCCTTCACAGCCCAGTGAGTCGTGGAAAACCTGCCCATCTAGTCCGTACTGGAGGCCCTCCTTAGCTCCCTGCCACCACACCTGAAAGACGTGGCGGCCGAGGCTGGGCTGCGCCTGGGGACAGTAAGGAGGGTGGCCTTGGGCCTCCAGGGCCATGCTGGTTCTCCTCACCTCGCAGCCTCCAGAGAAGGAAGGCGCCCTCCCACGCCAAGTGGGCAACAAGACGGAGTGCGCTCTGTTGGGCTTCGTCCTGGACCTGAAGCAGGACTTCCAGCCCGTGCGGGAGCAGATTCCTGAAGATAAGCTTTACAAAGTGTACACCTTCAACTCGGTCCGCAAGTCCATGAGCACAGTCATACGCATGCCCGACAGCGGTTTCCGCCTCTTCAGCAAGGGCGCCTCGGAGATCCTGCTGAAAAAGTGAGCGAGCAGCAGGACCCAGCCTGGGGCTGGGGCTGGCTAAAGCGTATGGCATTTCTGGTTGTATTATTGCGGGAAAGTAGACATAGCATAAAATTGGCCCTTTTAATCACTTTAAAGTGGACAGTTGAGTGGCATTAGGTGCATTCGCACGGTTGTGCGCCATCACCGCCACCCAATCCCAGAGCAAGTTCATCACCCCAAAGGAAACCCTGTGCCCATCACACAAGCGCTCCCATCCCCCTCCCGCAGCTCCCGGCCGCCACTCGTCAGCTTTCTGTCTCTGTGGATTTACCTATTCTGGACATTTCATAGAAATGGAATCATACAGTATATGTGGCCTTTTGCACCTGGCTTCTTTCACTCAACATAGTGTTTTGAAGGTTCATCCAAGTGCTTCATTCCTTTTTATGGCTGGATAATACTCCATCGCTCAGGTAGACCACATTCTGCTTATCCAGTCATCCATCGACAGACACTTGGGTTGTTTCCACCTTCGGCGACTGTGAATCATGCTGCTTTGAGTGGTCATGTACGAGTTTCTGCTTGAACGCGTGTCTTCAATTCTCCTGGGTATATTCCATGTTTCGTTTTTTGACAAAACGCCAAACTGTTTTCCACAGGGGCTGCCCCACTTCACTTCCCCATCAGCAGTGCATGAGGGTTCCAGCTTCTCATCCTCACCAACGTGTTATTACCTGATTATTATTACTGTTGTTGTTGTTGTTGTAGCCATCGGGATCTCACGGTGGCTTTGATCTGCATCTTGCTGATGACCACTGGTATTGGCGCCTTCTCATGTGCTTATTGGCCATTTGTTTGTCTTCTCTGGAGGAATATCTATTCCAGCCCATGCCCATCTTGGATGTGAATTCTTTGTCATTTGATTGTTGAGCTGTAAGAGTTTCTATATGTTCTGAGTATTAGATCCTTAACACATATCTGGTTTTGAAGTATTTTCTCCCGTTCTGTGGGCTGCCGTCTTTTCACTCCCTTGATAGATTTTTGCTCACTGCCTTGATTTGCCCTTGGATGCGCAAATGTCTTTCAATTGTGAAGTCCAGCTTTTCTCTTTTGTCGCTTGTGCGGGGTTCCTTTTAGAGGTGGTGAAAATGTTCTCGGGTTGACTGTGGTGATGGTAGCACAACTGTGAATATACTAAAAGCCATTGCATGGGACATTTTAAGCGGCTGAGTCGTGTGCTGTGTGAATTGTATCTCAACAGAGCTGTTAGGGAAACTGAGGTGGGCGGCACACAGCTCTGCCTCCGAGTGCACCATGCCCCGCACCCGCTCAGCGTTCACACCTCCCCTCGGCCTTGGCCTCTGCAGCGCCCACGCACCCTTCTAAGACTTGGCCTGATTGTGCTGCCGCGCTCACCCCCGGCTTTCTGGGGCCTTCAGGACAGAGTCCCGAGCAGGACCTCTGGGCTCCTCCCGTGGCCTCCACAGCCGGCTTCTTTCCTTCCTCACCAGTCTGCTCGGGGCCCCCATTTGTCCGTCTGCCATGCCAGCCTCTGGGGCCCGTGTTTCCTCTGCTCCTTCGTTTTCTGCACCTGAATCCTGCCAGCCCTCCCCATCCCAGCCCTTCTGTGGTCGCTGCCTTGTCGTGGCCCTGCTCCGTGGCATTCGGTTTTTGCTGATGTCCCACCTCTCTCCCTAAAGCGCAACGGGGCAAGAGTGACAGCCCCCCAACTCCCGTCGAGTCTGTGCGGAGCTGTGGGAACAAAGTACCATCATCCTGGGGGCTTCAAACAACAAAAAGACCTATTTTCTCCCAGTGCTGGAGGCCAGAAGTCCTCAATCAAGGTGTGGGTGGGGTCGCCCTCCCCCTAAGGCCTCCAAGGGAGGATCCTCCCTTGTCTGTCCCAGATGCCCTTGGCCTCCCTCGGTTTGTAGCTGCAACTCTCCAATCTCTGCCGCCATCGTCACACAGCCTTGTCCCTGTGTCTGTGTCTCGACGTGTCCGCTTCTCTTTTTTTTTTTTTTTTTTTTTGTGGTACGCGGGCCTCTCACCGCTGTGGCCTCTCCCATTGCGGAGCACAGGCTCCGGACGCGCAGGCTCAGCGGCCATGGCTCACGGGCCCAGCCGCTCCGCGGCATGTGGGATCCTCCCGGACCGGGGCACGAACCCGTGTCCCCTGCATCGGCAGGCAGACTCTCAACCACTGCGCCACCAGGGAAGCCCCCGCTTCTCTTTTTATAAGGACAGCAGGCATTGGACTGAAGGCCCACGCTCCTCCACTGTGACCTCATTTAACTTTGCGACAACCCTCTTTCCAAATAAGGTCACATTCTGAGGTTCTGGGCAGAACGTGGAGGGGCACACTGTTAGGCCGCGCACAAGCACAGCGCCCCCTTCTGGGAGAAGCCCTCTACTGCATCACATAGAGGGCTCAGCCGGAGGCCTGGCTCCCCTGCCTCACGGCGAGGGCTCCTCTTGTTCTGTCCGCCCCAGGTGCACCAACATCTTAAACAGCAATGGGGAGCTGCGCAGCTTTCGCCCTCGGGACCGGGACGACATGGTGCAGAAGATCATCGAGCCGATGGCCTGCGATGGGCTCCGCACCATCTGCATCGCCTACCGGGACTTCTCCGCTGCCCAGGAGCCCGACTGGGACAACGAGAACGAGGTCGTGGGCGACCTCACCTGCATAGCCGTTGTGGGCATCGAGGACCCCGTGCGGCCCGAGGTAGCCAGAGCCCCTCTGTGAGCTGCCCGCTTGTCGGGACGGGTGGAGGGGCCACCCTTCTTCGCGTCTGGCCTCGGTGGTGAGGCCTTTGGACGTAAATGCAAGGAGGAAACTGCCCCTTTCTCCTGCCCTCCTGGCCGTCACGCCACTCCCTGCCAGACTTTATAGGCAGAACAAATGGCAGCCCGCCAGAGTTGGACCAATTGGGGAGGGTGGGCATTGGCAGAGCCTCGGGGTCCTCCAGGGGCATGGCCAACATGCCCCAGATCAGACCTTCCCCGGCACACTGGACCCCCACCCTCGTCCTCTTGCCCTTGCACCCTTCAGGAGGCTCGGTCCTGCCGTCTGGAAGGCCCCCTCCTGCTTGGCCTCCGCCAGGTAAGAGAGGGCGGCAGTTAGAACCTCGACGGCTGCCAACGCCCGCAGGACTGATGGACCAGAGGGGCTGGTGAGGGAGACACAGGAGCCGGGGACAACTCCCAGGGCTCTGGTTCCGAGAACTGGGTAGATGGTGTTTGGGGGGCTGGGGGAGGGGAAGGCAGTTCTCAGTCGAGGGTTTGGTTGGGGCCGAGTGAGGTTCGGGACATCCCCACGGAGATGTCACGTGGTTAGGTCCTGGCCAGAGAGACATTCTCCAGAAGCGTCTTTTCATGAGTGATGGTCGTGGGTGCAGCGGAGCACAGGTGGGAGGAGCCTGCGAAGGAGACTCCAAGGAAGGGGCCGGGCAGGGAGGGGAAACTGTGAGGGGCGTGTGGCTGAGCAGGGCAGCCAGCGTGTGGACACAACTTCACCCAGAGCTGTGCTGAACAGGGAACGGAGCGACAGGGCAGAGGTTGCTCAGGGTGCAGAGAGGAAGAGCAATGGAGGCGGTGCTGGTCCTTCAAGATGCAAGACCCCCGAGGGAGAGAGCCTGCCAGGCTGGCCCTGGAGCGGGGTGCTGGCGGCAGCTGCAGGACACCAGCCCCCAGAGAGAGTGTGCAAGGCACAGGGGGTGCAGGTTGTGAGGCAGGGAAGGATCCTCTCTCTCCCAGGGCCTCTCCAGTGGCGCCCACCTCGTGTCAGAAGCACGGGCACCTTGATCCTGCCAATTAGCCTGAAAACATGTGTGTGCACGGGCTGCCCTCAGCTCTCCCTCGGGAGACAGGCATTCACGTACTGGATCAGGCACCACAGACCCTCCATTCAGAAGTCAGGGGTCATCAGCGACAGCACATCCCCGAATTCCAAGGAGATAGGGACCATCGTGTGCAGAGAAGGGGCACGCGGAGTTGGCCCCAGGAGGAAGCGGGTGGTGGCAGAGGCAAGGAGAGAGACTTAGAGCCAAGGAATGGGCCCAGAGAAGGCAGGTGGGGAGAGGAGCTGCCTGGAGAGCAGGGGCACAGGATGCCGCTGAGGGTGGCAGGGCTACCTCCAGGGACACAGGGACTGGGCCTTTCCCTTCGCCGGACCAAGGAGAAACTGAGGCGCAGAGGAAGGCTGTGTCCATACGGCGAGCCGAGTCCTAAAGCCATGTGGCCCTTGCATAGACCCGATGGCCTCTCCATCTGAACAGAGCCATTCGCCACCGCCGGCCCCCAGGTGGCCGCTCCAGGGTGATGGTTGTTCTCTCCTTACTCCTTGGGAGGTGTCGACAGTAGCAGCTCTAGACTTTTCCATCCAGATAACTGGGGCTGAATGAAGCTGCCGGAAAGCCAGAGCTCCTGTTGGAATGTCTCACAGACCCAGGAAGGCGACATTCACGGACCCCCAGGGCCCTGGCCAAGGCCATTTCTACAGCATCATAACAAACCCACCCAGCCCTTCCACCTCCGCCCTTTGCCCGGATGGAGGGGTGTGAGGTGTGAAGCGGCTGGCAGCCGCACAGCACGGGGAGCCCTTCTTGCCTGACCCCCTGGGCCAAGGAGCCCTGCAAGCTTCCCCTAAGTTCCGGCATAAATATTTGTTGCAAACTGAAGCTCTAGTCATCGATGTAAGGTTGGAGGCCTGAGATGTATTTGTAGATCTCCAAGACAGAGCTGCAGAGGCCCTCTTCTGGCCCACGGCGGCTCATTTACAGAAGCGCCAATGAGCTAGACTGGGGGCTGGACGTGGGGGCTAGATGGAACAGTCCAGAAGGGCTGCACATAGGCGGGGTGAGGCCCAGCCCTTCCCCCGGTCAGTGCTCTTCTCAGAGAGGGATATTATTGTTTTTATACGTTTTCATCTTAGAGAAAACATGGATAAAAGTTCCCTGAAGGTCACCCTGAAGGCTCAGCCTCAGTGGCTGCCCCGGCGGGCAGAAGCACAGGGTGAGAGAGCCGCCAAGGCCAGGCAATGGGCAGCTCATTTAAGATCCAGAAACGGCCTTGGTAAAAGGGCCCAGGGGACAGGATCGCTCCTCTCTGGCTGGAGAGTGGCTGAGTGAGAGGCTGGGCAGCAGGTGGGGAAGCCAGGCAGAAGCCCACGGGGACCAGCCATCTGCGCAGTGGCCAAGGAGGGTGCCCCGAGGGCCCAGGGGAGCCCCAGGTGCTGACGGCAGGCGGGAAGGCCGATAGGGTGCTGTTCAACTTGCTGGGATGCCTGGGGGCCTGGGACGGCTACAGCCTGTGGAGGGCCTGGCAGGGGGGTGTCTCTGCCCTGGGGAGCTGCGTGGACCCTGTAGGCAGGCTGTACTTATGCCAGAGGGGCCTGGGGGCTCCTGCAGACACCTGGCTGCCTGCTGTGCTGTCGGGCCTCAGCCATCAGGCCAGGACCACGGCTGGGCCCAGTGGGAGGCAGGCGAGGAAGGACAGTCACCTGGTGAGGGAGAGGGCGCCTGCAGACGGAGGGAGCTTCCTGCCACCTGGCTTGGAGGCCAAGGGCCTTTCAGACCAGAGACGGAGCCGGGCCTGGGCTGAGCCCACACAGAGGAGGCCTGCAGAGGCTGGATCTGGGGCTCCCAGGGCTCAGGCTCATCACGGCCACTTGGTGGCAGCAGAGGGGCTGCTCCTCCCAGACGCATCAGAGGTGGTGGGGGGAGCTTGTTGGAAAGGGAGGTATCTCCCCGCAGCTCATCCTCTAGCTCTCAAGGATCCCCAAAGAGCAGAAAGCGTCCCTGAGGCTGAGTGAGGAGACACGTTATTGGGGGTGTGGGATGCAAGCCCCCTTCCCGGGGCTGGGCCTTCTAGGCCGCCTGGCCATATTTGCTGCAGGGATCGTAAGGTCACTCTGTCCCAGCCCTGAAGTGGGAGCCCCTCTGGCTGGGCCCCGGGTACCCCTCCTCTTCCTACTCTCTCCCTGCCTGAGATCACAGCCTCCACACCTTGGCTTCGGGGGCCACCAGCGTGCCCAGACCTCCCGGACCAGTGGTCCCCTGCAGCCGACCTGGCCCCGCCTGCTGCCCACCTCCCCTGGGGTCTCCCAGCTGCCCTGACCCCCCGGCGCCTGGCCCCAGCTCCCCCGGCCTGGCCACCAGGCCACCCCCGGGACACCGCGTGCTCCCGTGCTCTCTGTCGTGCTCACACGGTTCCAGGGGCTCAGCCCGGCGGTGCCCACCGGGAGCCCACAGTGGGGTGCGCCGGGCCCAGCGGACTCAGCAGGGAGCCGGGTGTCCCCGGGCCGCACCCCTGGCCCCGCCGCATCTCCTTGCCCTCCTCTCCCCTCCTGGCCCCTCAGGCGCGGTCGGCGCGACTCTCCTCTGCACTGCTGTCTCGGGCTCACAAGTCCCCTCCTCGCTGGAACGGGAGTGTCTCCGCTCCCCAATGCCACCCCCTCCCAGCTGGCCCCTGCTCCCTTCAGCACTGGAGGGATGTCTTGTTCTTCTCCCTTTTCCGGAATCTAATCTTATGTTTGGAAAATGGAGAGGTACTAAGGAACCAGAGCAATGTCCCATTTCCTCTAATGAGCAGTGAGAATGCCTTGTCATGTCAAGCCTACGGCTCTAAATGTCTTAGGTTTTATATTATTTTTTTGTTAAAAAAAGTGGCGGGGAAACACGTGAGAGCTTCCCAGAGCTCGGCCAACAAGGCCAGAGCCTGCCTTGAGTCAGGGCCCGAGAGGGTCCAACCCGAGGTGGGTCCTGCCAGCTGGCGGGGCAGCTGGGGCCAGAGGTTCCTTTCTTGTCCTTCCGGAGCTCACTGGCACGGCCCCTGCCAGCTGGCCTGCTAATGGGACTGGTCCTGGCTCGGCTGCTCTGGGTCTCCATTTCCCCAGTGGAAGCTGAGGTTGAAAGAGCTGGGTGATTTCTCCGGTCACCTTGCTGCACACGGCTCCGATGGTGCCCCTTGACAGCGTTCCAGTGGCTTCTCCCAGCCTTGCTCGTGGTGTCAGGGCCTGGTTCTGAGTCGTCGGTGGTCCCCGGGGCCGGCACAGGGAAGGAGGCACCTGGGCTTGGGGGCACCCTGCTCCCTGCGGGCCAGGCTCCCAGCCGGGGCAGAGCTGACAGGCCGTCTCTCCCGCCTCCTCCAGATCTGGATGGAGGAACGGGTCTGGGCTCCAGCCATCTTGTCCCTTCCAGGTCCCTGAAGCTATCCGTAAATGCCAGCGCGCTGGCATTACAGTCCGCATGGTGACTGGGGACAACATCAACACGGCCCGCGCCATTGCAGCCAAGTGCGGCATCATCCAGCCCGGGGAGGACTTCCTGTGCCTGGAGGGGAAGGAGTTCAACCGGCGGATCCGAAACGAGAAAGGCGAGGTAGTTCCCGGCCCGTCAGCCCTCCCTCGAGTCCACGGTTCTGACACTTTCTCCACCGCCGCCCCCTCTGTTCAGCCCTGACTGCCCGCCCTGCCACCGAGGCTCTGCAGCGTCTGTGTGCTTTTCCCTCCCAGATAGAACAGGAGCGTCTGGACAAGGTGTGGCCCAAGCTGAGGGTCCTTGCCCGATCGTCTCCCACCGACAAGCACACTCTGGTTAAAGGTAATGGAGTGGGCTCACTCCTCACCCTGCCCTGCCCCTGCCCCGGGTGGCGGGACGCAGGCTGGGTATGGCCATCACCCCTCGGGTCGTCGTCTGCTCCCAGACGCCCAAAGCTGAGCTTCCAGTTGGGTCTCAGGGTACTCAGCTCTGGACCCATTGCTGCTGGAGACTTTGTGTCTCAGAGGAAGTCACTGCCCTCCCTGAACCTCATCGGGAAAATGGGGATAATAATGGAGACTCCCTCAAAGGGCTGACCTGCCAGAGCTCGAGCCTCCACTTCTCTGCGCTCACAGTATCAATGGAAGACGCCAGTAGAGACCAGCTCTCTTCATAGCAGATGGGGAAACTGGGGCCCAGGAGAGAGAGACATTTCTCCAAGTTGCCCAGTGCCGAGCCCCTGCCTTCTACGAAATCCCACCACCCTGTATCATCGCACTGGGTGATGGGCCAGGGTGGGAGAAGGGGGATGGGACTGCCAGTGAAGGCACAGGACTTGGTCCCAAAGATGGTGGAGCGCACGGAGGACTGGAGCCTACTGGCCGCCCCCCCGCCCCCGGGCTGGTCACCCGGGGCCACAGATGGCACCAGACCTGCCCTGATCTGTGTTCCAGGGATCATCGATAGCAACACCGGCGAGCAGCGGCAGGTGGTGGCCGTGACCGGGGATGGCACCAACGATGGGCCAGCCCTCAAGAAGGCGGACGTGGGCTTCGCCATGGTAAGCCACCCGCTGTCAGCCTGGCTCACCACGCCAGGTGGGGCCTTGTGATGGAGGACATAAGCTTTGTGCAGCAGTGTGGGAGCTAGCGTTGAGGCAAGTTGCAGAGTGCCAGAAGTTTCTTTCTCTCACATCTTGGCCACCTGGGCCTCTGCAAGCTCTGCCCTGTTGCTGGCTGCTGCAGCGGTGGCGCCCTCTTTGTTTGTGAGCAAAACCTCTCTAGTACAAGGACACGTTTGGAGTGGGTGAGGGGGGCTGGGGAAGGGGCCCCGTGGACACGGTGTGTGTGTCCCCCAGGGCATCGCGGGGACTGACGTGGCAAAGGAAGCCTCGGACATCATCCTGACGGACGACAACTTCACCAGCATCGTCAAGGCCGTCATGTGGGGCCGCAACGTCTACGACAGCATCTCCAAGTTCCTGCAGTTCCAGCTGACGGTCAATGTGGTGGCCGTGATTGTGGCTTTCACGGGTGCCTGCATCACTCAGGTGGGCACTGGGGGCCACCGGGGCCCAAGGAAGACCCCGGGCTCTCCCTCCCATGGCCGGGCTCCTCCCGCCCCGTGCACCTGGACCCCAGTGTGCAGAGCAAGCCCAGGGGACCCCGCCCCCAGCAGGGTGAGGGCTGAAGAGCCCCTACCTGAGGACCCAGTGGCGGGAGCCAGGTTTTTTTTTTGTTGCAGACTTTTTTGGTTGAGATAGAATTCACCCACCAAAAACTTCACCGTTCGAGAGTATACAATTCAGTGACTTTTAAGTACATCACCGTGTTGTGCCATCATCACCTCTATGTAGTTCCGTCATGTTTTCATCACCCCAAGAGGAAGAGCCATCCCCATGAGCAGTCCCTCCCCACTCGCCCTCCACCAGCCCCCGGCACCCGCTCACCTGCTTTCTGTCTCTACAGACTTACCTATTCTGGACATTTCAGCTACATGGAACCAAATCATAGGTGGTTGTTTGTGTCTGGCTCCTTCACTTAGCACAGTGTTCTCGAGGTCCATCCATGTTGTAGCAGGTACTTTATTCCTCTTGATGGCGGACTGATGTTCCATTGTATGGAGCGAGCACCTTGTGTTTCTGCATCCCTCCATCAATGGGCATTTGGGTTGTTTCCACCTGTGGCCGCTGTGGACATGCGTGTGCAAGTCTTGGTAGACCTGCATTTGCGCTTGTCCTGGGTCTGCTGGGAACTCCGTGGTTAACCTTTGCAGGAGCCTCTTTTCCTTTTTCAGTTCTCCAATTCTCCTCCCCATTAGTGAGTGTCCAGAATTTGTCTCCCTTTCAAAGGTATTTTTGAATTGAGATAAAATCCGCATAACATAAACTGTACCATAATAGCCATTTGAACCAAAGTGTACCACCTGTGGTTTTTGATGCATTGCGCATCTCGTGCAACCGTCACCTATACCTCAGTCCAGAACTTTTTCATCACCCCTGTACCCACTAGGCAGCCACTCCCTACTCTCCTCTCCCCCAGCCCTGGCATCCACCCATTCGCTTTCTGTTTCCATGGGTCTGTCAGTTCCAGAAGTTTCACAGGAATGGAATCCTACAGGATATGGTCCCTGGTGTCTGTCTTCTGTGAGGCTCATTTTTAACCAACAAGTCAGAGGCGATGGGAAGGAAGGTCCAGTGCAGTTTCTACCTCTTCCTGGCCCTTGGGTGCAGGAATGCATCCGTCGGGCTCTTTTATGGTCTGGGGCAAGTGACAGGGCGTGGCAGCCTCCTGCTAACAGTTTGGACCACACCTTCTAGATCACTGCCAGCAGGTGAGAGAAGAAGGGAGACTGACAACATTTTAAGAGCAGGAATCTGAAAGCCCAGCGAAAACTCTCTGCTAACTTTAAGAAAACATAGGGATGGAGATGTCGCGTTTTTATGGTGTTGCATTTTCACTTGAATTCAATTCCAGTGACATTGAGCCCAAGCTGAGTCTCCTCCCAGGACGGGGGGCCGGTGGGGTGTCCAGGCCCACGTTGGGGTAACTGGCTCGTCTCCACAGGACTCTCCTCTCAAAGCCGTGCAAATGTTGTGGGTGAACTTGATCATGGACACATTCGCCTCTCTGGCCCTGGCAACAGAGCCGCCCACTGAGTCGCTGCTCCTGCGGAAGCCGTATGGCCGGGACAAGCCCCTGATCTCGCGGACCATGATGAAGAACATTCTGGGCCACGCCGTCTACCAGCTCACCACCATCTTCACGCTGCTGTTCGTCGGTAGGTTGGCCCAGGGCACCCTGTGCTGTGGCCAGCCCCGCAGGCCCTGGCGCTGTCCGGCAGTGGCAGGGACAGACGGGCACCTGGGGACCCGATTTCTGGTGAGGACCCCTCGGCCCTCACCTCCCTGCCATCCTGGGAGTTTTGTTCTCTGTACGGCATTGGCTCCTTTTAGGAGATTCCTTTATTTACATGGGGGCGGGTTTGTCGCTTTGTCTCTTCCTGACGTCAGAGGGCCTCCACGGGTCTGATGACCCTTGACCACGTGGCGGCTTGGCTCTCAGCACATGTTCCTGGGAGTAGACTCAAAGTTCAGTGCAGGCATGGCGGTGGCCAAGGGGCAAGAGTCACCACGTGAGGGCACCCAAACCGCAGCACCTGGGGGTCCTCTCATGGGGCCTTTCTCTGCTATCTCGGGAGCAGAAGCTGGTCATGGCTGACCCGAGAGCCGTTCCAGAGGCAGGGCGGCACAGAGGAGGGCCGGGCCTGCCCTGAGCCTTGCAGCTCCCGTTCCTTCCCCAGCTCGAGCCAGTGTGCAAATGGGTCTTAATGTCTTCACCCCTGTCCTGGGGTTTCAGTGCCAGACCCCCCTGGTCTGGACGCGGCCTTGGCTGTGAGCTCCCGTTGCTTAGCCTGGGGGCTGGGGGGCTCATGACTTCCAGCCATGTCGCCCGGTGGTGACGCGCCCACCTGGGCCCGGCTCCCCTCACGTGGCCCTGGGCTTGCAGGGGAGCTCTTCTTCGACATTGACAGCGGGAGGAACGCGCCCCTGCACTCGCCGCCCTCCGAGCACTACACCATCATCTTCAACACCTTCGTCATGATGCAGCTCTTCAACGAGATCAACGCCCGCAAGATCCACGGCGAGCGCAACGTCTTCCACGGCATCTTCGGCAACCCCATCTTCTGCACCATCGTGCTGGGCACCTTTGCCATCCAGGTAGGAGGGGCGGCTCCACTCTTGCAGGTCCCTCCAGGTCTGCCACTCCCATTTCTAGAACTCGATTCCTTGGCGGGAGGCCACCTGAACTCCAGGAGACGCTGAGTGTTCAAAACTAGGGCGTATTGATAGAAAATGTGAGGTAGAGCGAGGCCAACAGGCCAGGATAGTTGGTTTCTCGCAGTTCTCAGAGGGGGGCCAGCCATGGCACGGGGACCACCTGGGGAAGCACCCGGGCTGGTCGGCAGGCAGAAGGAGAGCGAGGAACCCAGAGCAGGAGCTGAGGCGGGAGGGGCAGGCTGAGCACTTGATGGTGTGAATAATTCCCGGGCTCTGGGGTGTAGGGCTGTCCACCTTGTGGTCTGGGACCCAGCCCTGGGTGGTTAGGGAGGGGGACAGTGGCCTGGAGGTTAAGAGCCCAGGAGCAGAGAGAGCTGGAGTGTGGGCTTGGGACCAGTTGGTCTGTAGTTGAAAAGCTCACCCCTGGAAGAGGACTCCTCCCATGGAGGGGCCATGAGGCTGCGGGAGGCCGATCAGAGTGTCTGGCATACGCACGTTCAAGCACCACCTTCACAGAAGCCAGGAACATGGCTAACATGACCGAGCCTCACCCGAAGGCTGGAAGAGGGACAGTCCGGGGCGCCTGGGTCAGTGGGCACCTTGCACCAAGCCAGGCCACGTGCCCGTCCGGCACAGCACCCACGGCCTGTGGTCAGCCGGTCTGGGAAGCTTCTTTAGGCACTGGCTGAGGTGGGGATGAAGGGAAGGAGGCCAGAGAAAAGAACGCTCCCAGGAACTGCCTGTCTACCTGGGTGAAGCAACAAGCCTTCTGACTCCCTGAGCTGGGCCCACAGGACAGGGGGAGCCCCGAGGGCTAGAGGAGCTGGCTGGACGCGCCTCCCGCCCACCCCTCTTCCACAGATTGTCATCGTGCAGTTCGGCGGAAAGCCCTTCAGCTGCTCGCCGCTGTCTACGGAACAGTGGCTCTGGTGCCTGTTTGTTGGTGTTGGGGAGCTGGTCTGGGGACAGGTAAGTGTCTGCCTCGGTGGCTTTGCCAGCCCTGCCCCTTTCCCATTTGTCTGGGGAACTGTGGGCAGCCCAGGGTCCCCTAGCCTGCCTCTGGGACAGGCCATGACCTAGGTGCAGGGCCACAAGTGACAGCCTCAGCAGAGAGCATGCAAAGGGCCATGGCTGGGATGTCACAGCGCCCAGCAAAACCACCCACCGCTCCCCTTGCCACGGTAGGAGCTGAAAATCGTGCCTTAGAATTGGGTGGCTTGGAAAATGCTCACATATTTGAAGCTACACAATACCTCTGTGAACCTTCCAGACAGGGTGGCTTCAACGGCAGGTGTTATTCTCTGGAGGCTAGATGTCCAAGATCATGCTTACATAGGGCAGGCCCAGGAGAGGCCGGGCACGGGCTCCCAGCTCCCCCACCAGGGGAGTTGCGTGGCAGTGCAGTTTCTCCCAGTGGCAATGTGTGATGACACGCATGGGTACCACCATCAGGGCAGCTCCCCTGAGCGGTGCGGTCCGGGGACTTGAGTGGCGTCGGTCCTGGAGGCCTGGGGAGCCCGTGTGACTTAGTTACTCAATCTCCGCGCCCAGGGACCCGCCCCAAATCACCGCGGCAGTGTAGCCTGCCTGCCCTTGGCCCCAGCTAAACCAAGAGGCAGGGGCCTAAAGGTCCCCTCCCATGAGCCAGGCCAGGGCCAGACCTTGGTCTGGCGAAGCGAGTCCCTTACATCACACGCTGTGCGGGAAGGTGGCATGAGCCGCTCCTCTGGGCGTCGATGGAGGAGGGTCCACCGGCACGCACACTGCTTTGGAGAGCAGGATTCGGCAGCAGGCAGAGGCGGCCCAGGGGCCGCCCGCAGGAAACAAGCACTGAGGAAGGAGCTGCACACAGGGCCGGGGCCTGTGCAGGGGCGGGCACACACACTGGCCTGGGCCTGCATCAGCGGGAGGCGGGCAGCCTGCATCCGCTCCCGGCCCCAGCAGAGCTCCCACCTCTGACGGCCACTTCTGCCTGCTGTCCCTCACCTCTGGCGACCCAGGTCATCGCCACCATCCCCACCAGCCAGCTCAAGTGCCTGAAGGAAGCGGGGCACGGGCCCGGGAAGGACGAGATGACTGACGAGGAGCTGGCTGAGGGCGAGGAAGAGATCGACCACGCCGAGCGGGAGCTCCGCAGAGGCCAGATCCTCTGGTTCCGGGGCCTCAACCGGATCCAGACGCAGGTAAGCCGCCGGGCTGCTCGGCCACTCTGGCTCTCCCGCCTCGCGAGGGGGTCAAGCAAGCCAGAGGCAGAGAATGGGCGAGATGAGCCTGAGAGCGACAGGGAAGCCCTTGGGGCTTGCCGCCACGATCACAAGGGCAGTTGCCGGATGTGCCAGATGACAGTATGTCTCCAAGATGGCCTCTCCCTGACGCCTCGCTCAGAGCCCAGGTGGCCCTCCCCGCTAGTGGGCACAGGTGTCAGCTAACGGCGTGTGCTGTGACCCAGAGCTGTATCTCAGGGAGATGGGGGCACGGGCCACCCACTGTTTGAATAGCTGCTGGGACTCGTTTTCTTTGCTGGGAGCTGCCCCAGGTCACGGGGAAGGGGCCTTCTCGGGATGAGGCAGATGCCCGTTTCAAATAGGCTTTGGTGAGCTCGCCATTCATTGGGTTATACTGTGAATTCTATGGAAAGACTTCATTTGGGAAGTGAACTCTGGTAACCAAGTTGGTCCGTTCTGTGCATCCCAATCTCCTCTATAAACTCAGACAGCCACAACGACTGCCCAGCTGTGGGCACTTGCAAAGGCTTCGTGAGAGTCTGCCTGACAGAGCCACCCTCGCTTCCTGCCCCCAGCTCTTCCCGGCCAGCCTTCTTGCCAGAATGTTCCATACTTGCTGTCTCTCTCATCATAGCCTGACATCAGCCCTCAACACCCCAGAGGCAGTTCTCACCAAGGTCTGCGAGACACCCTCCCGGCTCCCGAGCTGGGCCGTCCCTCCATCCCTCCCGCTTGCAGACTGTTTCCCAGCGCCCTTCCGGAAGTGCAGTCCGCCCTGCTCTCCTGGCAGCTTGCTGGCCCCTCTCCATCTTCCTTGCCTATCACTCCCACCTCCCACTGAGACCGTGGTCTGCCCTGTCGCCTGGCTGTGACCCTAGCTGCTGGAAGTCCCACGGTCCCCGGGGGCACTGGTCTCTTCGTGCCAGTTCCCCATGGCCTGGCCCTCCCCGCACAGCCTCCAGATGGCGACCAGGCGCCCCTCACGCACCACCTTCTCCTCTGCCTCACGTTACCCACCCTGGGCTCAGGTCAGTCCAGACCCAGGCCCCACCTCCCCAAGCCCACCTCCTCCCGCCCCCCAGCTCCTGATCCATGGCTCCCTCACTTCTACTGCCCAAGCCAGAGCCCTGGAGCTGTCCCAGACCCTCTTCCCGTCTCCCCACACACCTGGCACATTGGCACGGCCCTTCGAACGCGCATGCCCGGTCCAGCCACCTCCGGCCCCGCCCCCAACATCCTCCTGGCCCAGCCGCCCACGTCTCTGCCTGGACTGAGGCTCCCGGGGTCCACCCTGGACCCCTGCAGCCTATTTGCAACATAGCCAGCGTGTGACACCCCATCACTCCCTGCTCCTCCCGGGCCTTTCTCCGTGCTCTGTCCTGGACCCACAGCCCCACCGCCCCGACCCAGCTCCAATTGCTCTTGCCCTGGAGACCCACCGGCAGGAAGAACACCACCGGGCGCCTGCTCGGGCGGCTTCCCGCGTGGCCGCTTGGCCCGGGCCAGGACCTGAGAGCACAGCTCTCCCCAGCGCCCGCCTCCAGCCTGTCACAAGTCACCATGGGCTCATCCCAAAGAATCCTCCATGCCAGGTGCCCAAAGCGCCCTCCCAGTGCACGCGGCTCACCAGCTGCCGCCACGCAGCCCCGGGCGCCCCTCTCCTCCCCAGGCGCCAGCCTCAGCTCCCCGGCCAGAAGCTCTCAGCCTCCCGTCTGCCTCTCGGCATCACCCCACGTGCCCTGCGTCCCCGGAACCCCTGCTGCCTTCCCAGACTCCCACTCTGCTCGCCCGCGTTGCTGTGCCTCCATGCTGGCCACTGTCTGGGCCCCAGGCCTCCGCAGCTCCCACCGTGTCCCCTGGGGCCCCTCCTCATCCCACGGCGGCCCCATGAAGCCTTCTCAGAGTCCCAAGGGGCTGCTCCGGGCCTCTGGCTCAGCCCTCGCGGCATCGCAGGCGCCTTGGCCAGCGTGGCGGGGGAAGGATGTCTTGGGCCCGGCCAGAACACTGAGCGCCCAGTAGAATGGGAGGAGCCTTTGTCACCAGCTGTCTAGGTTTTCCCCGTGGCCTCCTGGCTGCTCAACTGTGAGCACCCAGCCACCCGTCCCGCCCCGATGGGCTCTGGTGTGTCATGCTGGGCGGGTTGTGCAGCAGAGCCTATTCGCTTCCATCGCTGAGCCAAAGTCAGTGTTAGCTCTTCTAGCAGCCAAGAGCACGGCCCTGCCCCGATCCTAGGTGTCCGGGAAGAGGTCTCTGGCGCCCCAGCCACCTGTGCGTCCGTGTCTTCTTACTGCCTGCAGGCTCTTGGACCTGACACTGCCACCCCGTTGGTAGAGTGGGTCCCCTCAGTCAGAGCCTTGCAGTTCCGGGCTGGTCGGGTCCCTGCTTTCCACACGGAGAAATGGGGCCCAGAGAGAAGGGACTTGCCCAAGGTCACCCAAGTCTCCTTCCGCCATCCCTTAGCCCTGGCCTCTCCATGGAGCCACTCATTCCTCCCCTTGACTTTGTCACATCAAATCCGCCACAATTCTCAGGAACGCCGAACTAACCAGTTGCTTTAGTTCACTTTTTAAGAGCGTTTGTTCATTTTGATTCAAAATACCTGCTTGCAAAGCAGAAATAAAGCCTAGGAGAAATAAAGCCCCTCAAGTTGCATACACCCCATGCCAAGAGAAACATTCTCTAGGCAGCCAGCCCTAGATTTCCAACTTTTGCAAGACACAAAATTGCTCCCCAGATTTCAGAGACCAGCACAAGTTTTTATGTTGCTAAGTGGAGGCATTTCCTAAGCTGCTGCCCGCTCTCACCATCATTCCAGGCACATAGAAACGCACCAGCCAGGAAGGGTGTCATTCCAGAATAAAAGAGTCCTCCAAATGCAGGACGTGGAGCTTTTCAAAGTGCTCACGACGTGGTCTATTTCGCATTCCATTCTAAACCAGAGAAGCTTCAGCAGTGACTGGGCCTCGTTCCTGGCCCAGTGTGGGGGGCTTCCGGGGCAGGCGTGGGGCAGAGGGATAATTCTGTGGTATTTTGACTGATACCATCATCGCCTCGGGACACCATGCGGAGAGGCCCAATCAGAGGCAGGAAAGGCATTCTTCCCTTCCCTTGTCGCCTTTGCCACAGTAAGAGTCCCCTCTTGAGACAGTCCCCTGTCTCCGTAGCCTTAGAAACATCTCAATCTAGGGAGGAGATGCCCCCCCCCCCCGCCCCGCAAAGAGACAGCGACATCATGGCATGGGTCATCTTCCTTCAGTGTGTTGGGGCACTCGGCACTGTGCCAGTCCCCGTGGGCACTCAGTATGCCTTACTTCTGCTGGGCAGAAGGGGCTCAGTGGTGCGCACACAACAATTAGTCTGTCTGGCAGCGCGTCCAAGGGTTGAAATGCCGGCCGTCTTCACTTTGGTTGGGATGGGGGCCGTCTGAGCGCTCTGCTGCTCACATCACCCAGTGAACTCTGTGGCACTTTCTAGAAACCAGATCCACCTTCTAAGGCCAGAGATTCCACACACACTCCCCGCTAAGAGGGGACATTCTCTAAGAAGCGGCCCGAAGTACGCCACAGCGGGCTGGCCTCCCAGAATCTAGACACACGGTCTTCTGATGGGGGGACGTTCACAGTGGCCACCCAGCCACGGTTCCTTGGGACCCCACGCCTGGGCTTGCTCCACCCCCAGGCCCCCCTGCCAGCCAAAGGCGGGTGGGGAGACCCAGAGATACTGCATCTCCGGCAAGTTCACCCCCATGGCTCTCATTTCCTGAAGCCTCCTAGGAGGCTTTAAGGGTGGGGGACAAAGTAAAGCCATCTTTGCTCCCCGGACCCAGGCTCTCCACTCTCCCTCCTGCCCTGCCTGTGGCTCTGTGGGAAGGCATTCCGATGAGAGAAAGCAGGGGCTTTGGGGAAACCCCCTCCCCCTCTTTTAAAATCCATTCTTACACTGGGACGTCCCACGGAGTACCCCTCAGTCACTTGGATGAGCCGCAGAAGGAGAGTGACGGCCCCACTTGCGGCAATATAAACACAGGACGGGCCAGGGAAGGGTATTTATTGATGAGTGGCTTGCGATGAACATATCGTGAATGCAAATGGCTCTTTCTAAAGTGCTTGCGGTGTGCCCGATCCATCGTCAGCCCCCGCGCGCCAGGTCTCCTGAGCGCTAATAATTTGCTCAGCAAAGCCTCTCTTGGTGGATGACGCAGAGGCACCGAGGCGACCTCAATGAGGCTTTGCTGTCACGATATGCACCCAGTGTGGCCCCTGTCCCCACCCAGCCCCACCCCCGTGCGGTCGCGGGGACAACAGTGCAAGCCAACCTTTATCTCATTTTCTCTCCCACAGATGGAGGTAGTGAGTACCTTCAAGAGAAGCGGTTCATTTCAGGGTGCTGTGCGCCGGCGGTCCTCGGTCCTCAGCCAGCTCCATGACGTAACCAATCTTTCTACCCCTACTCACGTAATTCTCTCTGCTGCCAATCCCGCCAGTGCCGCTGGGAGTGAGTCTTGAGTCCCCTTTTCTCTCATAAATGGCATCTCTGGGGGAGGAAAAAGCCTCCCGCCTCTTCCTTCTCTTTTTTTCCAGTCTTACATCCTCCGCTCACCGAGGCTTTTCCGTTCTTTCTTTATCGCCCTGTTCAGTCCTTCCCGCCCAGACGGTGTGTCTCTCTAAAGCCATATCCTCTTATGAAATGTACTGAATCCATGGCACTGCTGGACCTTCTGTTCTTTCCTTTGGTTTTGGGGTTTTGTTTAGCGCTCCTTCTGTCGCTGGTTTTCTTTTCTTGAACTGATGGTTCTTCATGAACTTGGCCGCTTCTGGCGGTGTCTGGTGTCAGTCAGGTTGGGGCCTTGGTCAGTGTTCCGCGGGGCAGCTCGAGGGAGGCGCGCGGGCTCAGGGCCGCCCCCCAGGACTGGAAGGAGAGGCGAGCGCCTTTGCAGCGCCATTCACAGCGGAAGAACCCAGCCCGCCCACTTGGGACTAAAGCAGCAGCTTCCAGAGCTCTCCTTGAAGTGGTTTCCAAAGGCAGTACACCTGGGCCCCCGGGCGTTAAAGGTGACCCCAGGAGCCCTCCTCATGCCTCGAGCCCGCCCTCGGCCACGTTTCCTTTTGTTCCCAAAGCATCTTCGCTCTTTCCAAGCAGGCCTCAGGATTGGAAGGTCTTAACCTGATCTGGTCCATACTCTCTCTCCTCCTTCCTTCGAGAAGCTGGGAGAAATTGATTCCTTTTTATACGTCCCTCTGAAAAGTTCCCGCCATGTCTGTCACATTTTAAAAGGAACCCAGGGGCTGTCCTAAAGAGCTAGAAAGTTCCATATTTGCTCACATTTCTTTACAAAGACAAAGGGCAAGCCACTAGGCCATTGAGCCCACCACCCCACGGTCCGCCCAGTAAGAGACAACACAAGGAAGAGTGTGGGCCCCCCACTGCCCCCCACTGCCCCCCAGGGCCACCTGCTTCTCACAGCAAACTCGAGATTTCAAAAGCCAAACAGTACACCTTCAAGTGTGAGCCCAGAGCCCCTGCCAGGATGGTTCACTGCTACCTGTTTCCTTTCCTTCCAGTGGGACCCGGCAACTCTCACCTCTGTGAGCACATCACTTCCCCATGGACGGGAGTTGTTAACTATGCTTTTTTCCCACACCAGACTCTGGGATTTTCTTTTTGCTTGATTTCTTCTCTTTTCCTGTTTTCTTTTGTCTTGTGTTTTGTTTTTTGTTTTTTCTTTTCTTCTTCTTCTTCTTTTTTTTTTAGGAACTGGTAAGAGGTCCCCAGTGGAGGGCGTCCCTCCTCTTGCTTAAGCTGTCCTTTCAGACCACTCTGCCCTTTATGGAAGGGATGTACTGGTCCCCACTGGGGCCACCTTGTCCCCTTTGGAAACAGCGCACACGTAAACACACACACACACACACACACACACACGAGCGTGTTCCCCATCCCACAGGCCACACACATGTCCAGCTCCCTCGAATGTTCACTGAGCCACCCACCCGGGGCCACAGACACTGGCTGACGGCCGTCACAGGCGAGCTGGAAAGCTTGTCCCACAGGGTACTTGGCACCACTCCACCTGGGGAAGCCGGCAGGAGGCTCGGCCAGGGCCTGCTGGGCCGCAGCTGCCCTCGCCTGCCACTTCCTTCACGTGTTCCTTTGCCATCTCTCTCTGTGCCTCCTCTCTGTCTGTCTGTCCATCCGCCTGTATGTTGACTTGGGGGAAGGCAGCCCGTCCCTCCTCTGCTCACCCCTAGGCCTTCCCCACACTCCTGCTGAGGCTGCACTGTCTGGGGGCCTCAGGCCTCCTCCCTGGGGGCAGCCTCCTTCTCCTCTCTCTTCCTCGGCTTCTAGTACCTTCCTTCTTTCTGCGGCCACCTCTCCTGTCCCCCTTCCCAGTGCTGGGAGCCCAGCAGCGTGGGGTAGGAGCCGCTCCCGGGGAACCTAAGTAGCTCCTGGCCAGAAGAAGGGTCACTGTCCATCCACACCACGTACCACTGGGAGATGAGCACCTTCTGCCTGAGGAGGGTCCCGATGTCCTGACTCACAAGATGCTGGATGGAGGGCCAGGTGGCACCAGGGGACGTTCCTGCTTCCAGAAGCTGCCGACCAAGACCACTTCCTGCCACCATCACCGCTTCCCAGTCCAAGCTTCAAAGACCCCGAGAAATCACCAAGCCTGGCACCCACATCGTACAAATCAGGGGAAGTCCTGGCAGAGTGGAGGACAGCCCTAGGCCTTCAGTCTCTCTCTTGGAACTTACCAGAAGAAAGGCAGGGTGCAGTGGTCACGGGGCACAAGGTTTCCTCAGGAAAACCCAGCTCTTTCAGGAAGGCTTCTGTCCTCCTTGCCTACCACCCGGCCAGGCCGCGCCTCCTCCTGAGCGCCGCGGCCAGTCTCGGCCCAACATCGCTTCCGGTGAGAGCCTCAGGCTGTGTAGGTGGAAGGCCTGGTTGCGGGTGTGGACAAGGAGCCTGAAGGCCAGAGTGACAGGTGACATTGCTCAGCCAGTGCAGGCCCCGGCATGCAACACCAACGCAACAAGTGGCCAGAGTCCGAGGGGGAGGACAGCCCCTCAGAGGAGTGATGGGGGGAGGCTAGAGGTGCGATGGTCCTCGGGGCTCAGCGCGCCCACATTCACAGCCACGCACACTTCCTATTGACCTCCGGCACCCCGCCCCCGGCTCCAGAATGGCCTTGGCTGCCTCCCCGCTGCCCACTCAGCCGTCTCTCCTGCCTGCCTTAGTGGCCGCCCCACCACAGCCATTGCATGGGACCTCAGCCATGCATGGCCTTGAGGCCACCCACCTGAGTGGCTTAGGAAAAAGCATTCTTTACTAACCACCATCAGTCTTCTGGAAACGAAGGGGGTGTGAAATCCTATCCCCTGTTAGTGTGTCAGTCACCCTCATTCCTGCCCCAATCACAGTATCACACAATAATTCTTCAGGAAGCTCAGCCTCATTCCCCAGCTGGCTGTTAGGATCCCCAGGGTGGAGGCAGACAGGAGGTGTCTATTCACTCAGATGGCTGCCCCCAGGTGCCAGCACGGCCGCACAGACACACCCCGCCCCCCCCCCCCCCCGCAGCCACATATCCACAGCCTGTTCCCCAGCAGCCTGGCCATCCTGCAGCAACAGTGGGCCTCTATGCTCAAACGATTACTGTCACGGGGGCAGGTGGCGAGTTTGGTCAGATGTGCCCAGAAGGACTCCCTCAGGGCCCTTCAGGTCTGATCAACCATACCGAAAACATATCACGGCGGTTGCTTTATTTTAATTGGCTTTTGCCGACTTGGCAAAGCCCAGCCCGGTGAGACCCCGGGGCTTCTGTGGACACGCCCTTCTGGAGCCTGGGGAGACATGCCCCTCACACACTCCTAGAGCAGTAGTTAAGCCAGCCCCACTGAGGAAGGAGCCCTGCAAAGTGAAAGCTGTCTTGTTTGCTGGAGTTTGCTTCCTTCTCAGGAAATCCATTGATTTCGAGGCAAGTCTGCCCACGTGGGTTTCTGGGAATAGTGTATTGGCATTTTTGGTCAGCTCTTCGACAGTGTGCACACTGTCTCCACACTAGGAACAGTGTCAGCCCTGCCCGAGCCTTCCTGCAGCCAGGGACCCTACCACATGGAAGAACCTTCCAGGCAATTCCTAAAGCACATGCCAGCTTGCAGCCTAAGGCAGACCCTGAAAGCCCTGCTCCAGAGCCCCCCACCCCCGTAGACACTTCCAGGCCGACTCCTGGGGCTGGGAGCCAGGGCCCAGGAAGCCCAGGAGACTTATCTGAGGCCCTGCAGCTGGAGACAGCCAGGATGAGAGGCAAGGCCGAGCCCCTGAAAAACCCAGGACTCTCCATGCCTGGGTCAGTTCAGTGCAACATCTTGTTGACACCGGCCACTGAGTCTGGCCTGTCCCGGTCCTGGGCACACATGCATGCCCACAGAATGGGAGGTAAACTTCACAAAACTCACAAGCCACCAGCATTTTCGGCTTGCCAGCACACACAAAGCTGTGTCTTTTGTTTGGGATTCGATCCCTCAGTGAAAGAGCCGACTCTGGAGTCTGAATTTTCATGTCTTCTAATTCCGTGGTGAGGAAAGGGAGCCTTCCCCCTTGCTACCCCCTTGATTGTGGGTCCATCACCGCACACCTCTTTGTGTTGATCTCAAGTCATGATTCACCCTCATGCCTACAGGGAGGGTTTGGGACTTGGGAACCTAAAGTTCATGGAGGCGCCATGGCTCTCCCTGGCTGCTGTGTTCAGAATTTGCTCTAAATCCAAAGCCCCGTTGCCAGGGAAGCTGCCAGGTTCCTTCCTCCCACAGAAGGTTCTGGATAGTGGTTGGTACGGAAGGACAGGGCAGGAGTTGGATGGAAGAATTTTGAGCTCTGTGAGCTTCACAGTGAGAGAGAAGGGAGGGTGCAGAGGGTGACGACCCCCCCAGGGCCTGCTCCTCCCACAGCCCGAAGGTGTCAGACCCAGTTTCTGTTGTGGCCATTGTCATTGTTGTTCGGGAGCCTTTGCTTTTATTTTTCTCTCCTTTCCTTTTCCTTTAATGGGGTGGGAGATCCTTCATCCTTCGCTTTCCTCCCTGCTTCCACGTCCCTTCTCCGCCTCCACCACCACCTACATTGCAAACGCAAGCGATTAAAGTTCAAAACAAAAGCGGGGTACATCCACTTTCAGCCGCGACCTTCACCCCTTCTGCTTGCAACTCTTCATCAGTAGCATGGTCCCATGGCAGAGTCTGACACAAGCATCCTTTCTCCTTGTGGCCGGGGTAGTCCTGCGGGTCTGGAGCATCACGTGCCCCATCCCCGCTAATGGAGCTCACGGTGAGGGGAAGACAGGCCAGGGCTCACATGCGGGGGCGAGGGCCGGGCAGCAAACAACAGAGAAGTAAGTTTGCGCTGAGTGCAGGTGGTCACCAGCCTCAGAGGGAAAGGAAGCAGAACGAGAGAAACATTAGTGGCACTATTTTCGATATAGGTTGTCCGGGACAGCCTCTCAGAGGATGATTTGTGAGCTGAGTTCCAAATAAGGAGACAAGGCCGACATGGGATGATCTGGCGGAAGAAGAGTGTAGGCGGGGGACAGGGCAGGGGTGATGGCCCTGGGGGACACCCAGGCTTGCTGTTCCGAGCACCGTGGGCGGAGAGCGCTGGTCGGGGGAGCTATGGTGGGAGACACGTGCCAGGCTGTGTGGGCCCCCTACTCCCAGCACCTATCCACTGAGCCCCTGCTGCAGGCGGATGCTGTGCTGGGTGCTGGGGACGTCAGGGGCCTTATGCTCCAGTGACAGGAGACAGAGGAGAGAATAATGGGATGTGTGGGGTGTTTGAAGGTGAACCATGCTGGGGAGAAAAGGAGGCAGAAGAGGTGCTGGGGTGCTGAGGGAGATGAGAGGATTGTGGCTGTAAACGGAAAGAGCTAAGGGGGAGCCATGAGGCTCACTGGGGAAGAGCCTTCCTGACAGAGGGAACAGCCAGTGCAAAGGTCCTGAGGCAGGAGTGTCGTGCTTGAGGAAGAGCCGGGAGGCTGGAGAGGGTAAAGGAGAAAGAGGAAGAGAATGGCCCGAGGCAGGCCCCGGCAGGACTTTTCCTTTGAGGGAGACACAGCCACTGAAGTGTTTGGACCAGTGGAAGGTGCGACACGCTCTGACTTCCGCTGGAAAAGATTACTCAGGCTGCCATGCTGAGAAGAGACCGTGGACGTCAAGGGTGGCAACAGGGAGACAAGGAAGGAGACATGGGGGGTGGGAGGTAAAGTTGAAGAAGCAGGCAGAACCCCGAGTCTGGACATTGAGGTGGGAGCTCCTTAGCAGGCAGATGGCTAGAAGCACCCAGGAAATGCGTGGATGTGGACAGAGAAAAGGCCCAGACGACTCTGGGGCCCTTGGCCACGATAGGGGATGGGCAGCAGCAGGGGGACCTGGAAGCAGGGGTGCAGTGTGGGGTGCACGGGGCGCCCAACGGAGAGGTCCCTGGGGAGTGGGGGCCAGAAGAGAACAGGGCCAAACGAAGCTGGGCCCCTGCGTACCAACAGCTGGAGGGGCTGCAGCCCCGAGAGAGGGGCAAAGAGTAACCTAGACGAGGGGGACGGAGCTGGCAGCGAAGGAGGAAGCGGGCCGCGGTGTCAGAGGCCAGGCGGTGGGGCGCAGCAGGCCTCACTCGGAAAGGGGAGGGAAGCCGTGGGACAGCCCCCAGCCCCAGCCAGACCTGCTTCTGGTTGGCTGTAATCTAGAAGTCCTCTTTACTGGCCGGTGCTTTTCACGTCTTTCTCTACCTTTAAATTCTCTTACAGTAACCTGGACTTGGGGGCGTCCCACACTGCGCAGAGCAGCGTGAGCGCCACCAGTCAGGACCCAGGGCAGGGCCTGACTCAGCGGCCAGAGAGAAGGGGCGGCAGCCGCACAGGCTGGAGCCCGGGAAAGATCCAGGGACCAGGCAGGGGGCGTCTCTGCGCTCGGGGGCTGCGGGGAGACACAGCCGCAGCGCTTGAGGCGGGGACGGCTCCGCCCTGGAGAGGTTCGGGAAAGAGGGGCCCCAAGACACGCTGATGTGCGGCACTGGGCCTGTGCCTGCAAGTTTCAGCCAGAGCCCTGCACCAGGATGCAAAGACTAGGCGAGGGGCAGGGTCGGCGGGGGGCAAGGCTGACGGTCCTCCTGGACCTCCTCCAGTTCGAGAGGCCCATTAGCCATTGACAGGAGGTACAGGAGCAGCAGATGCAGGCGGAGGCGGTGCAGGGGGCATTGGTGGCGTCGAGGTGGGCTGTGCGCTGTGGGCGGCACTCACAGCCTTGAGGGCAATGACATCCCTTTGGGCGTCCTAGAGATGGACAGGTGGCCTGAGGACCCTGCCCTGGCCCCTGGGACAGTCCCAGGCCAGGAGAGGAGCTTCAGGAGGCAGTAAGGGTCACGCACTGGGGAAGAGCGCTGGACCCACCCAGCTGTGACCAGGCTCTCGCAGGGACGCGCTAAACTCCGCGGTGGGGGTGTCCTCAGACTCCCAGGTGCGAGCTCAGGCCTCCAGGGCGGCCCTCTCTTAGAAACGTTTCCCAGTTCCCACCAAACCCGTGTCCCGGGGGTTGACTGTGCCCTTCAGCGTGGAGTGGCCTGAAAACTCCCCATCATAAGACCAATCCCAGGCCATGTGTTAAGAGCCCAAGATTTGCATGCAGGGAAATGGAAGCTGGAGGGAAGCTGACTCGCCGTCAGCTGTAAGACACTCAGGATGACTCAAGCCAACGGCGCACGTTGGAGTGGGCAGCCCTGGCACCTTCTGTTGGTGATTGAGCGGCCGCTCTGCGCCAGGCTCTGGCGACAGGCAGCAAACGAGGCTAGTGAGGGGCATCAAAGTGAGTCTTTGATTACACCCGGGAGGAGGGCCCTGAAGGAGCCTTCCAGGCCAGAGCAACAGAAGCTGGGGAGGGAAGAGCCGGCCACCCTCTGGGGGAGCTGGGGATGAGTTTGAGCAGGGGCCTGGCCTGATCACATGACCCGGGTCCAGGTGAGGGGAAAGGATGTAGCCAGGGGCACCGGGGCACTGCTGGCAAACTTACCACAAAGGCCTCCAGGGCCAAGGGCGGCAGCACGCCACTTGCTCCCATTTCTGTGGCTTGAGGGGGTGGCTGACTGCCGGAGTAGATCCTCCACCACCACACAGCCACAGCCAGTGTCCCATTGGCTCTCCCACAATCCTGGCACCAGAAAAGGAAAATGATTGTCAACTTCTGTGTCACCCCGATCTCGGAAGCCAGTCTGGGGAATGCGGGGGCCGACAGCAAATGATGGCCATCTACGACCTGGAAGATGTGGCTGTACCAAATGCAGAGAAAATCCTAGCTGGATTTAAGATATGGAATCAGAAATTTCCAATTTTATGGAGCCCTTGGGCTCATTTTTTTTTTTTTTTTTTTTGGCCCTTGATTGTGAGGTTCTCCTGGGTTAAACTGACCTAGGAGCATTGAGCTTGGCTGACCCCGGGATCCAGACACTGGAGGGTCGAAAGGGATTCATGGTCTAAACCAGGGGGCAGCAATGAACATTGGACATGTCCTTCAGAGGACACGGCATGGCCGTGTACCCAATAAGACTTTATCTACAAAACCAGGTTGAGGGCCAGAGTTAGCTCTTGGGCCACAGTTTGCCAACACCTTGTCTAAACCAAGAAAACCCAACCCTAGGACCTTGGACCTGGAAATGGCTTTAGAGCTCACTTTGTGTCCACCCACTCACATAGGGAGGCTCTGGCCTCCCCATCTCAGCACAGGACCAGCTGGCTAGTGCAAAGCCCAGCTGAAGGCTTCCCATCGATTCTGCCTTCTAGAAACATGAGGGAGCCCAGGCTGGGGGCCCAAGGAAGGAGCAGAGAGAGGCAGCAAACCGAGGAGACTTGAGCACATGTGGAGGTGAAGGCAGGGCAGCCAGCGGAGGCCAAGGGGCTAGTTCTGAGAGCAGGGTCCTGCGGGAGGTGCGGAGGTCAGGGGTGCCTGAGCTCAGCTGGGGCCTCGGTAGCTGGGGAGCAGGGCATTGTGGGAAGCCTCTCCCCAGGGGGCACTTGTGCTGATCTGAGGTCTGCAGATGCCAGCGGGGCAGCCAGGGAACAAGGTGTAGCAAATGTGAGTGGGGGAAGCATATGGCCCCCAACCAAATTCCGGGGACTGAAAGAAGTCGTGTGGTTTGGAGAGTGAAAAGGAGGAGAGTGAGAAAGGCTGTAGAGGCGGGTATCGGCAGACTACAAAGGGCCTCTGATGGCAGGAGATGCAGGACGGAAGGGTCTGAGAAGGGAAATGACGACCAGATCAAACGCATCCAGCTGGTGAATCAGGGCATCCGAGCAGGACAGGCTTGGTCGGTGTAAATTAAAAATGGGGCCATTTTCCATCTTGGATGCCTCCAGATGGGGGACTGGTAGGCTCTTAGGCCTGGAGCTCTGATGAGGGGCCTGGGCCGCAGTCCATGGTTATAGCCAGATGAGCCCAGAGCTGTGGCCAGGGCGAGGAGGTGAGCCTGGGGGTGTGCACAGGGAGGAGGGGGACAGGGACAGGCCGGGGCTCTGGGCACTCTGGGACAGAGTCACAAGCAGTGGAGGAGGTGAAGACAGAGAAACCGGTGAGGTAGGAGGAGGGCCAGACAGGGGCAGTGTCAGGGGAGCCAGGAGAAGTTCCCAGAAAGAGGGGCAGGTGGCCCCTGGGGGATCAAATAAGATGGAGACACAGAAGGGCCGTCGGACTTAGCAGCACGGGGAGTGATGGGCAGGTGTGTCTGGGCCTGGCCAGCGCGGGCTGCTGCCACAGGGGCCGGGGGGGCAGAGGAGAGGGCGCCGAGAAGCCAGGGAGGGGAGCCAACGCGCGAAAGGCCTGCAGTGTGCCCACAGGCTGGGGACTTGCTCTTGCCGGAAAGTTCCTCGGACTCTCTGGGAAGAGAAAGTGGAGAGCCCAGTGTCCAGCACTGTCCCTTTGCCCAGTCATCTTTCCGGGCTCCCACATTGGAATCCCCCCCCAACTCAGTGCAGGGGAAGGGGTGGGAGGGAGCAGCCAGGAGTCCCGTGAATCCATTGCTCTTGAGTTCAGCCTAGAGAAAGCCACTGCCATTTGTCCTGCATGCGCATCAGGCGACGGGAGGGAGACGCAGCGGGGCGGAGGGCTCCGACTTTTCTGTTCCAAAAGACACACGTTTGTCATGCAGTGACCCCTGCCGTGGGTGTGGGCTGCACTCACCGCTGATGGCCTCCTTCCCTCTTCCTTCCTCGCCCTCCCCCTCCTCCCTCCTGCTCACTGGCCCTCCCCTCCCCCTCCAGATCCGGGTGGTGAAAGCTTTCCGTAGCTCCCTCTACGAAGGCCTGGAGAGACCCGAATCCAAGACCTCCATCCATAATTTCATGGCGACGCCCGAGTTTCTGATCAATGACTACACACACAACATCCCACTCATCGATGACACGGACGTGGACGAGAACGAGGAGCGCCTGCGGGCCCCGCCCCCGCCCTCCCCCAACCAGAACAACAACGCCATAGACAGCGGCGTCTACCTGACTACGCGCGGCACCAAGTCAGCTACCTCGTCAGTGTTTTCTTCCCGCCCCGGGAGCCCGCTCCACAGCGTGGAGACGTCCCTCTAAGCAGAACTGCTCTCGGCACGGCACGCGCACTCCCCGCACACACACGCACCCGGGCGGGCCGGGCGAGGGCACCGGCCACGAGGAGGGCCCGCCAGGCCGCTGAAGATGCTCCAAGGCACCTGCCAGAAGCCAATGCATTCTAGGCTTCTTACTCAGGAGGACCAGGAAGGGGAAGGAGGAGGAAGGAGAGACCAAGAACAGTCGTGTTCCCCCCTTTTTCTATGGAAGCTTTTTTAAACGAACACTGTAATTCCACCAGATGTTCCCTGTTTGGGCTGTGCAGTGCGGCAGAGGGCCGGTTTCGGTTTATCGAGAGCTTCGCGGCACCTGCTGCAGAGCAGTTGGCTCAACAGGTACAAGAGGCGAGCACCGCTCTGCAGGAAGGATGCTCCCACCCAGATGGTCCACCGGCCCAGCACCCCCTCCCCAGGACGCGTGCAGTCAGCCTGTGTGTGCATGTGTGCGTAGCCACGTGTGTGCGCGTATAGACGTGTACGTGCACGTAGGACCAGATGCATATCTAAAGAATAAGGAACTACTTAACGGCATGATATTTCCATTTCTCTTATCGGGTGTTTTCATTTTGAGATTTCATTATTTATCGCGGCAGGGTTTTTTTCAGGGAACTAGACTGCAAGAATATCCTTCTGGTTGCTTGGGACGCGCCTCCCCCGCACTGCTCCCCTCCCGCCAGTCCCCTCCATCCTCCGTACTAACGGTTACAGTTGAAACAGTAGGAACATTTGCACTTTGAGACCCCTGCCTATAGAGAAAAAAACACCATTCGATGGAATTTTTATTGAAAAGGAAAATACCAAAGTATTGACGAGAATGATTCCCTCCAGTAGGCCGAAGGGGGAGTTTTGCTTTCGGTTTCCTTTGGTTCCAACTCCAATTCCAAGTCCTGAAATCTGGCCAGTGGGTAGGATTTCTTTGTCAGAGTCCCAACTTCAAGAGCACGAAGCCAGGCCACCTGCCATGCCTGACCTCCTGGGATGATCCGGAATCCCCAGAGCAGGCCCAGGAGAGCCAGGTCCACGGGTGGAGGTGGGGAAGAATGCAGAGAGTCAGAAAGAAAGCGGAGACAGACGCTCCATCCAAACCCAGGAGGAGCCGGCACGGCCGCAGCGCAGACCCCAGCCCCCTGGGCGCCTCCACCTGGACTCCCGCTCTGCTTTGGCAAATGCCAAGAAGCTGTCGCTGAGACGCCCATAAAGCGACTGGGAAAAGTTCTCAGTCACCACCCGCAAAGCGCTCTTCGGATCCTGATGTTCTCGTTCAAGGACAACTGTGACCCACAAGGGCATGGATTTGGGTCTGCAGCCGCCTACGGCGACCTTGGGGAGGCCAAGCCCCTGGGAGCGACGGTCCCTCGTCTCTGTTGCTGTAATGGAGAGTGCGGAAGGCTGAGGAGGTCAGCTCTGCCACGTCATCGGCTGAGCACCTGGTCTGCAGGTGGGGAGAGCTGGGCCTGGGCTCCCCAGACGGTTCCCTCGGGAGCCTCTCCTGGCAGTGTGGGCACGCGGCGTGCCAAGCCTCAGTTTTCCTCGAATGCGTGACAACCGGGGTGGGAAATGCAGAAAAAGCAGAGGTTCTTTTACCTTCAGAATTCTTCTGTCTCACATTTTGCAGGGAGGAGGTTGGGGTCCAGCCACGGCTAGTACAGGTGCCTGTCGCTTGGGCCTGGGGCTGAGCCGCTGGGGGACAGCTGGGAGCTGAGGGGTGGAGGGGCTCGCTCAGCAGTTGAGCAGCAGCTGGACCAGTGGCAAGGCTGGTTCGCCCATCCCGTGCCCATCCCACAGCCCCTGGCCAGGGCTCGCCTTGCCTCCACTTGTGTCTGTGTGCCTCCGGGCAGGCGGCGTCCCAAGCGTGCTCGGTCCCCACTGTTAACATTAATGCCATGTCACCCCGGGCAAAGGAATTTCGGTTAGAAAAGCAAATCCCACTTCAAATGCCAGCTACCGATAACTTAAAGCCATCCCTTTCTTCCAAAGGGCACATTGAGAATGTTACCCATTTGTAAATTGTTCCCTAATGTCCTTGTTTAAACAACAACAAACAGGGCAACTCAATTTGTTGAGGGTCTGTGTGTTCTTAAACAAGAACTGAAATTGGAAATGTTTAAATTGAAGAATATACACTGAGTAATGCTATGCTCACGGGCTTCTTTTCATCCTCTGTTGTAGACACAAAGCCTTGCTGCTGCTGTCCAAAGTTGCCTCCTGTACACGGCGATTGTTTAGTCCCTAGGTTGCCTTTCCATGGGGTGTGGGGTGCAGATCGCTGCTCTCATTTCTGTGCGTCTTCAGGCCAGGGGCCCTATCTCGTTGGGAAGCCCCTCTCTCTAAAGCATTATCTTATATGGAATGGCTTGGTCAACTGTGTTCAGTTATTAAATCTGTTTTACGTTTTTATCTGCCTGTTATAAAGATGAACAAAAATATCTTAATGAGGAAGACCACAGATGCATAATAATTTAAAGTCTGTAGTTGAATTTCCTAATTTAAAGAATAGACCAAAATTTCTGTGTATTGAAAAAAAAAATGAAAGGCTCCCACAATCTCAGTCTGGGTAACGTGTGTGATTTATTATTTGGTGAATTCTCCTCCAGACCTAAAGAGAAGCGTCTTCCTCCCTTTACCAAGCTGGGGTGAGCCCCGGGGGCAGCGGGGTTCCCCTGGGGTTGTGGCCACCTTGCCAATCCTAATGGAAGGAGGAGAGGGCTCGACCACCCTGTGGGGTCAGGTTCGCATGGTGGGCCTCAAACTGTCTTGACCTGGAAGGGCCTGACCTGAATCTCCAGGGTGGCATCCTCAGAGGAGGGTGGGAGCAGGGAACGCCACCCAAATGCCAGAACCCTGGCACGCATGCAGACGGCTTCGTTTTTTATTGTGGAAAAGTACAGATAACATCAAGTTTACCACGTTAACCATTCTTCAGCGCCCAGCTGGGCGGCGTTAAGTACATTCAGGTTGGTGTGCAGCCATCCCCACCATCCATCTCTAGAACTGTTCATCTTCCCCAAGGGAAACCCTGTCCCCATTAGACACTAGCCCCCCTGCCCCTCCCCCAGCCCGTGCCCCGCCCCCATCCTACTTTCTGTCCCTAGGAACCCGACGGCTCTAAGCAGCTCATACAAGTGGAGTCCTACAGTATCCGTCCTTTGTGTCTGGCTGATTTCCCTGACCATGATGCCTTGTAGGTCCAGCCATGTTGTAGCAGGTGTCAGAGCGACCTTCCTTTTTAAGGCTGAATAACATTCCACTGATTGGATGGACCACATCTTGTTTGTCCATTCATTCTTCAATGAACACTTGGGTGGTTTCCACATTTGGCTAGTGTGAATCACGCAGTTGTAAACACGGGTGTACAAATACCTATTTGAGCCCCTGCGTTCACTTCTTTTAGGTAGATACCTGGAAGTGGAATTGCTGGATCCTATGGTTATCTTCCGTTTAATTTCTGGAGGGACGGCCAGACCGTTTTCCACAGCACCAGCAGCGTTTTCTATTCCCCCCAGCAGTGCACAAGGGTTCCAATCACAGATTCCCTCTTTAAACCAAAGCCATGGAAAGAAAGCCCATTATCGCACCCATTCACTTGCTCCGAGCGTCACTGCCCCGTTCATTCCTTCGCTCACTAGGCATCTTTGAACACCCGTGCTGGGGACAGCCGTGCCGTACCAGTAGAGCCACGAAGGCAGCTCTGGCCCAAGATTTGTGAATGACTCCCGCGGCAATGGTGCCAAAAGTCCCTGCATCCTGTTTCCTCATGTTTCTATTCCCCGACTCTGCATGTCACCCTTGTAGACTTGGCAGTGCCAGAGAAAGCATTTTCCAGGGAAGCTGCCAAGAAACGAGCAAAATGGCTTCTACGTTCCCTTCCAACCACCAGAGTCCATACTTCCAAAAAAGGCCAGAGACAAATGGCAGAAAGCAGCAGACAGACAAATACAGGAGCTCTTGCTTCACTGACACACAAGCCACCTCGAACCATAACTCTAAGTAAGCCTAGGTTGGGCCAAATGCCATATCAAGACAGCTGCACCTTCTGGAGAGATCGCATTCATTTATGCCTGAATTCTCTTTTTCATGGACTTCCACTATCAAATATGACCCAGGTTCCCATGGGAAGAAACTGGTACACAGCCAAATGCCTTGGGGCGAGGAAGGTACTATAACACCCATCCCTTCACGAAGCCGGACGCCATCTTTACCAGCTGGCAGCCTGGGAACGGGGGTAGGTGCCATGAGTTGGGGGAAGGCCCACGTGTGCGTTTCCTAGGCTGCTGTAACAAAGTACCACAAACCGGAAGATGGGGGGCGCTAAAGCACAGGCGTTTCTTCTCTCCCGGTTCTGGAGATCAGAAGTCTGAAATCAAGGTGTGGCAGGGCCACGTACCCTCTGCAGCCTCTAGGGGAGGAGTCTAGTTTTTTCCAGCTTCTGGCATCGCCGGCAGTCCTTGGCTTGTAGACACATCACTCTGGTCTCTGCCTCCATCGTCGCAGGGCCTTGTCCCTGTGAGTCTGTCTTCACCTGGTATTCTCCCTCTGCACAGGCCTATCTCTGTGTCTCTCTCCTCTTCTTATAGACACCAGGCATATTGGACTAGGGTCACCCTACTCCCGTAGAATCGCATCTTACCTTGACAACACCGCAAAGGCTATTTCCAAATAAGGTCCCATTCCGGGGCTTAGGATGTGAACGTGTCTTTGGGGGACACCACTCCCCATCCCAGCTGGAAAAGAAGAGATGGGTCGAGCCCCACATAGAAACTGCTTTGCCCCCTCCTTCCTCTGGCTTGACAGGCCGAGGAAGGATCAAACATTTATCACTTTACAGTAATTAAGACGTGCTCTGGAATGAAAAGCTCCTGGAAGCTTCAGGTTCTAGAAAATCTTATCTCAATCTCTCCTTTTTGAACCTAAAATAAAGGAGATGGAAGGTTGTATATCTTTAATCCATACTATCTTTTATAAAAGCCTCAGTAATAGGAAGCCAAAGCAAACAAAAGGAAACCACCCTGCAACAGGTTTTAATTCATAGTCTGTGGCTGAACTGTCCTTACAAAGCACAAAGCACAGCTGGCCGTGTCACGTATTCCTCAAAAGTGTCACATACGTCCCAATACCTATCCTTATCTCTGTTCCAATGACAACACACACTGAAGGTGGGGCTCACAGCCTTAGCGGCATCAGGAAGACACACAGATGACCCCTTAGTGACAAGCACTGAGCTGACAGGCCCAGAGGCCAGCACACAAAGCCAGCAAGTCCCCAGGGCAGTGTGACAGGCACACACATGGGTGGAGGGATTTTAAATAGCAGTGAGCAGTCACAGTCTGAAGTTGTTTGGTCCAACCTGCTTGATTTACATAGTGGGAAACTGAGTCCCATCGAGAGACTGATACCTGGTAATCGTGAGAGGAAACTTAGGGCCACAGAAACTCCAGAGAGGCTGCTGTCAGCCCCGCAGCCCAGAGCTCGCCCTGTTAAGCACGGTGGCTCTCGGCTGGGGTGGGGACAACAAGGGCAGTGCTAGGCCACATGGGGCAGGCAAGGCCGGGGTGGGGGGCAGCTGGGTCCAGCCTGCGGGGAGGAAGGGGGTGATGGAGGCAAGGTGCTTTTTAAAAAGCACGAGGCAGAAAGGACTGGCAAGAGAGCCGAAGCCGCCCTCAGAGGCCTGCCAGCCAGGCCCCTCACCCTCCACTGTCCGCGCTCAGAGCCCCGGCCCTGTGCTCTGGCACAGACTCTGTCATCAGAGGGTACCCAGTTGAGCTGGAAAGGACACAGTGGAAGAGGGGCATTTACTCATATCCTTCACCCTAAAGACAAATAACACAATCACTTTGCAAACTCAAGCAAGCCCTACTGCCTGACTTGTCACCCATGAGTGGCCCCTCCCTGTGCCCCTCACCCAGTGGACCCTGGGCGTGCCAACCAGCCCCCATACCTGTGGGTGCCAGAGGGCATGGTGGCCAGTGGCCAGAGCCTGCGCTCCCCTGGTGACAACCTCGCAAATGTGGTGAATTGCCTGGGACGGTCCCCCAGCCCCCATGCCATCATGTGTTAAGGGATGGTCCTACCAGCGTGCGTCCTACCAACCGCCCAGGCTGGCCTCTTTCCCCCAGGGCACACCCAAGAGCAGTCCTTCCCGAAGCAGTGCCATTTGAGTGGGAGTCGGGGGGCGGGGCACGGCTCCGAGATTCCCTAGACTCGGCATCTTGACTCACTCTCTTGGCCTTAATAAAAAGTTGTAACTTTCTGGATACATTTTGGTCTTCTTGAACTCAAATGATACTCCTTAATCCCTCTTTCCAAGATGTAACTTCACTCGCCAAGCAGAATGATTGCCAAGCCCTGCAAGGGTCCCAGCAGAGGGAGGACACGTGGGCCCTTCTAGGGGACGTCATTGTGACACGGGCACACGCTGTGCCATCCTACCTTCCGGAAGTGGTGGAGGGCCTACCCCAGGCACTTCCACCTGGAGAGCCTTTGAGGGGAAATCGAGTCTGGATGGCACCCACAAACCCACCAGGGCAGCACGGGCTAGAGAGCAAACACCGGGTGTCCCAGTTCATTTGTATCTTTTATTACACAAAATAAAGTTCCATCTATGTTGCACATTCATTCATTCTATAAATCAGGCTTTTAAAAAATCCCCAGGGGCTCAGTCCCATCCTTTCTTTGATTTTCCTTCCGATGACGTCACCCTCCACAGCAGTCAGGTCCTCTCAAAGGACAAAAGCAGACGCGGCGCCTGGCCTCGGCAGCCCCTCGCGGTGAACTCCAAGCCCGCCCGCTGAAGGCGTGGCTCCTGTCACTGTCCAGACCACGGCTGCCGGGGACAGTCATCGCCTTCGCCAGCCCTTCCAGCTGGTCCTCTGGGGGCCGGCGTTCACGGCCCTGTGGCGGTGCCATCCCCAGGCTGCCGAGCGTCACGGACTTCTCTTTGGGCAGGCCTGGACCAGGGCCTTAGGGGATCTCTGTGTCCATGGTATAAATCTGAATGAGATCAGACACAATGTTATCAATGATTGGCTTGGTAAGGTCTTCACTAAACACCTAGAAAGGAGAAGGAAAACAGGTTCCGGTTAGACTCCCTCTCCGTTAAACAAGGCACCCGCCACTAAGCACAGAATCACAGTGCACAGGGGTGGGGGATGGCATGGGGACTCGGCTATTGGAAACGAGGGCGGCTCTCTGCACAGCCGGTTCAGGTCCAGCCTGCCGAGGCTGATCACAAAGCAGAGAACATTCCAGATGGAAGAGGCTGTGGTGATCATCCAACTCATACAGGAGAGGGGACTTGTCCTGGGTTGCATGGGAAGCTGGTGACGGGCTCCTGCCTCCCCCTGGAGCTCTCAGGTCCGCAGTCTCTGGGTATGGGAGCAGGGGTGGGGAGTTCATTTCCAGAAATAGGCTAGGTCTCCTGGACCCCACTCTACCCTAGGCCAACCCCTAGGGAACACGTGGACCTGCTCTCTAACCTGGACCAGAACGTGTCTTTTTTTTTTTTTTTTTTTTTTGGCCACGCTGCACAGCTTGCTGGATCTTAGTTCCCCGACCAGGGATTGAACCCGGGCCCCGGCAGTGAGAGCGCCGAGTCCTAACCACTGGGCCGCCAGGGAAGTCCCCAGACCGCCACTTGACTGTGCCACGGAGCTTATAAAATTGCAACGTGAGTCCCCAGGGGCCCAAATGAAGAGGGCTTAACTCTGCACGTTCCCAAGGAAGGTCCGGTCCTGGCCTGGCTCCTGGGAGGGGAACTCTAGGCCCCTGCCTGATGAGAGGGTCTCGGTTTGCCCAGGGCCAAGGGACCTGGGAGCTCATATCTGGTCTCTCCTGGACCTGTCCTCCGTTCCTTTTTATCTTTGCTGATTTCAACCTGTACCCTTCCCCGGTAACTAAGCCGAACTCCCATAACCACGAGCATAAGGGCTTTTCTGAACTCTGTGAGTCCTCTCGGCAGCACAGCGAGCCTGAGGATGCTCTTGGGGACCCCGATGACACGGCAAGTAAAAAGCAAAACAAGGAGCACTTGGTTGGATGCCGTGGCCCCCGGGCCGGGGGGTGCTGCCTGGGGAATCAAGGTACCACGAAGGTCAAGGCCCAGGGCTGAGCTGGGGCAAAAGCTGGACCTGAGTCCACCCTCCTGCATGGCCACCAAAGGAAGCGTGAACTCTCCACAGGCTGTCACTTCAGGTGGGAGATAGTGACCTGGAAACAGCCCCTCCCTCGACCACTGGCTCAGGAAGATCAGCCGTCACCCCCTGGACTCCGGTTGGAAAATAAATACTTCAGAAATACAGGCTTGCATAGCACAGGGAGATCAGCTCTGTGCTTTATGACCACCTAGAGGGGTGGGTTAGGGAGGGTGGGAGGGAGGGAGACGCAAGAGGGAAGAGATATGGGAACATATGTATATGTATGACTCATTCACTTTGTTATAAAGCAGAAACTAACACACCATTGGAAGGCAATTGTACTCCAATAAGATGTTAAAAAAAAAAAAAAAAGAAAAGAAATACAGGCTTGCTTGTCAGGGTCCACTAGCTGTATGCTCTTGGAGACCCCAAGCCAAGAAATGACCGTTAAAATATAGTCCAGGGCAGGGACTTCCCCGGTGGCACAGTGGTTAAGACTGTGCGCTCCCAATGCAGGGGGCCCGGGTTCGATCCCTGGTCAGGGAACTAGATCCCACATGCGAGCTGCAACTAAGGAGCCCGCCTGCCGCAACTAAGACCCGGCGCAGCCACGTAAATAAATAACTATTTTTTTTAAAAAAAAGTAGTCCAGGGCCAAAAGCTGGAAACAATCCAAGTGTCCCTCATGGAGGAACGAACCAACATGACGCGGTCCAGCCACACCACGGAACAGGACTCGGCCTCCAAAAGACGGGGATTCCGACACCCGCTACAACTCGCTACTGCTTTAGAGCCAGAGCCTCATCCACCCAGAGGCCCGAAGCACCTGGGCACAAGCGGCCACCCCGCTGCCACTGCTGCCACGCTCGAGGGCAGACAGGTGACTTCACAGAAGTGGTGGCTGAGAGCAGGTGAGCAGTAAGAATGTCTCACGATTTAGAGGCAGCACCTCGGGGCTGGGCAGGCGGCTCGTCAGCAGCCGCTCAGCACCAAGCAAGCGGCCCTCACATGCCCAAAGGATGCCCGGCCGCTCCCGTGCACGGAACTCGGAGCCACCCGGAAAGACAAGAGCGAGCGAAGCGCGGGCGTACCGCCCAGAGGGGCGTCGTCGTCCAGGAGAACGATTGCTGGGCACGTGTGTGTCGCCCAGAAAAGAGGCCCGTGGCGGAGCTGCTCTCCGTGCTCTCCTCTCACGAGGGGTGAGGGGTGACGGCCCAGAGCGGGAGGCAGAGGTTGCTGCGGCAGCTCCAGCCCCGGTCACCGTCAGGAACAAGTGAAGAGAAAGGAGAGCAGGGAGGACACGCAGAGGAAAGCAGCCCAGGACGGGCCAGGAAGCAGCGGCCCCTTGCGCCGCCACCTGATTCAACAGAGTGGGGACCTTGGGCTCACGTGATCTGGAAGTCCCCAAGAAGCCCGGCACGGAGCAATGCTTTTGTCCACGCAGCCGCCCTTTGCCCCCCACCTGCCCAGACACTGATGAAGCAGACAAGGTCCCTGGCCTTGGGGTGCGGTGGGGGGCTGGGGGGCAGACAGGCAATAAAGGACAGTGAATCACAGAAAGAAGCTGTGAGCTCCCAGGAAGGGCGAGCAGGCCGGGGGAGGGAGCCTCAGGAAGGGGGAGGCAGCCACTGTGGGTTCGCATGGGAGGGGTGGTGCCCAAAAAGGAGGAGCCTTCCGTCACCTCAAAGTCTGCTTACATGGAATCTCATTGTAGGACAAGGAGGGACAAAGGTATCATGAAGAGAGGGCCGGCAAACTTCAAGTACAGGAAAGGAAAAACGGAGAATGATGTCAAAATCCCATTTTAAGGAACGGTGGGACTACCCAGGGAAACCCGCTAGGACTGCAGCCTTTCTGACAGACACACTTCACCCAGCTCTCGACAAACTGCTCTCAGCTTTCAGTACGTCTCGGGGAAGCGGGGTGTCATCTGTCTTATCTATCTATGCATCCACCCACCCATCTATCATCCAACTGCCTCCTTTTCCATCATCTCTCCATCCCACCATCCACCATCACCTATCCATCCGCACATCATCTATCTACCTACCTACCAACCGCTGTCTTTTTAGAGCACCCCCTGTACGTCTTCTGACGTGAAGCCAGACTTACTAACCTCGGATCTACGACAAGCTCCCACTCAGTTCAAAAAAAGTGCTTGGTTGGCCTCAGTAGTTCTCAGCCAGGGGCGATCCCTATCCCGAGGCACTTGGCAACGTCTGGCGCTGTCCTGCTCCTACATCCGACCCTGAACGTCCACGGTGTCGAGGGCGAGAGCCTGCCTTAGACTATTAGGACAGAGTATCCTCAAGCTTCAAGGTTCCCAAGTAGCCCGTATCTTTCTTTGTGGATAATTACTACAAAGAAATGTGACACCAGGTACAGGGACCTCAGGCAGAGAAGAGGGGGACACACGCCAAGGGGGACTGCCAACGCAGTCACCTCACCTGCCACCATGGCTTCTCGGCCTCGGCCTCAGCGGGCACCTCGACCCCATAGGCCTGCAGGGCCAGGTGGAGCACCGCCACGGCTATGTGCTGAGCCTGGAACCGGAGGCACAGCCCCCCGTGGTAGCTGTCGCGCAGCAGGGCCCAGGCGGTGATGGAGACGGGGCTCCGCTGCCAGCTGTAACGGTTCAGCCAGTTCTTGACGGACAACAGGTAGTGGAGCAGGTACTGCAAAGACACGCCAGTCAGCTGGCCCCCCGTCACCTGCCTCCTTTACTGTGAGCCTGCGGCCTGTCTGCCCACCAGCCACTCTCCCCTAAGCGTCACGACGTGTGTACACCACAGATCGGATGTGTCGCCTCCCGGTGTCACTGGAAAAAAGCCCCAGTGCCTTCCACAGGCCTTGCCCCACCCTCCTGCCAGGTTCACCTCCAGCCCCGCCGCGGTCCCCTCAGGCCCGCCTGCTCTCAGCCTCCAGGCCCGGCTCCCAAAACCCGCTCGGCCGCTCTCCATGGCCACCCCGCCACTGTCCCTCTCCGTCAACGTGGCCCTGTGCCGGCCACCATCAGCGATCATTCTCCTCATGCCCTCGGCCCTGCTCAAACATTAAAACTCCAGAAACGGCGTCCCGATCTGCACGACAGGGCAAGGCACCCACAGTCCAGCCTGAGGCTAGGGGCCAGCCAGACACCGGACACTGGCTCTCGGGGCGCCAGGGCCTCTGAATGCCCTCCAGCTCGGCCGTCTGTCAGCTCCCCCTCTGCCCGAACACCACTCCCTCCTGAGCCCACGGGGAGTGCCACTGAGGAGAGCAGCCCTGCACCGCACGCCGACAGAAAACACTACGGCTTGGAATCTCCACCAGCGGCTCTGGGACTAGGGAGGCGGTCGGGAAGGCACACGTCCCAAGCCCCCCCCACCCGCCTCTCTGCAGGCCACCTTTCCAGCTGCCCACAGGGTCCTTCCAAGTGCTCTAAGGGTTCACGTGCCCCTTCTGCTGCTTTCTGAAGCAATTCTTCTGTTGGGACGAACGCACTCCTAGCTGTGAACGGTGAGTGACCAGGCTTTTCTCGTGGGTTCGTACGCACAGCTGAGCTGGCACTGAGCTCTGAGGCGGGGCAGCAACTCCTGGCACAGGGACTCGGCAGGTCAGGAAACGGGCCCTGCCTCCCCGTGGCTCAGTGAACAAACAATTCATACGGGTCTGGGGACGGGCACGGGCTTCAGAGGGCACGCGGATCCTGGCTTGCAGCCACAGCCGAGCGGGCGGAAAGGCAGCAGCTGAAATTAGAGCTGCCTGACGGACCCCGAGAGTGGCGACGGGCGAGGCTGCCAGAGCCGGTCACTGCTTCTCCCCAGGGCCCCGCGTGGCTCCAGGCTCAGGGGGCTGCAAATAGCTTCGTGCCTCTGGGAACTGTCGGCGACCCCCCCAGCACATACCTTGTGAGGGTGCTGGAAGGAGACCTGGAAACGCAGAACCCGCAGTACGAGCAGCTCACACTGCACGATGCTGTCCCGGAGCTCCCAAAAGCGTGAGTCCAGTTCCAAGGGCTCGCTGTCCGGGTGGAAGTACCTGTGCAGAGAAACAACACAGCTGACGGCAGAAGTGGGTGGCCCCAGGAGCCCCCAGTCGTGGGATACCCAGAGGCAACGCCAGGGCCCCTGTGCTCTTGGTCAGCACAGGGTCACCATGAACCACTCTCCACCTGCGGGTGTGCGTATGCCATGGAAACGGTAACCAGAGAGGAAAGGAGCCACTTCTAGCGTTAGCCCCATGGCCGTCCCACCTCCTTAGCAGGACGTCGAGTGTAAAGATGGGCTCTCTGCAGCGTCTCCTGAGGAACAGTCTTTGCACCCGGGGCGGCGATGCCCCGGGCTCTCACTCTGGGCCCAAGGAAGGCATTTGAACACAAGAATGATGCCCTCAGAAATGTAAATGTATTTTAGCTTTCCATTTTGTTTCATTCCAGATCTTTGTGTCCTTATTTACACCTTATTCGTCCACAACACTCCCACCTATGCAAGATCACCAAGCTGTGCGGGAATGGGATACACACTAAAGTGACCCCAGTTCTCTGCCGCTGACTCACCCTTCCCGGCCCCTCCCTCTTCTTCCGATCTCCCCACAGAACCACACCGGGCGCCAACGTCCTATTAGAGCGCCCCACGGTTTCCCCTGGTGCCCGCCCGCCCTCCCTGCTGGGGCCCTGGCAATGACAGGTGGACTCCGGCTGCCCTTCCGCGGTTCCCTAATGATTAGAGTTCCTGGAAAGGCTAATGACGCACTAACTTTCCACAAATTGCTTCCTCCCAGGCCCCGGGACCTCGGCACAGCCCGCCCAGCCGGCTGGAGCCCCGTGTCCTTCCCCAACAGGAACACGGCTGCTCGGGCCCAGGACTCTGCGAGAGACACTCCTGAGCAACTCTGACCATGTTTCCACACCATCTAAACGGGACAGCGGCCCCAGAACCCAACTGGTTCCATCCATCCTGTCCAAGAGCCCACGAGAATCTTTTTTTTTTTTTTAGAATAGAATTTGATCTTTTATTTATTGTTTAACACCCTTCTTGGACTACAGTTGCTTTACAATGGTGTGTCAGTTTCTGCTGTACCACAAACTGAATCAGCTGTCCGTACACACTCTGCTCCAGCTGTGCCCGCGTGCAACGCTAGGGACACCCTCCTTCCCACCCCGCTCTGCACCCCATCTGGCCTCTGAGGTTCCCCAAAATCTGGCCCCAGCTTCTCTCGTACAGGTGCCCCTAGGCTCCTGGCTCACCCCTGCCTTTGCTGTTACTGCTCCCGGCCCCAGTTCACGGCCACCCAGGTGCCTCCTCCTTAGTTGGACTGCTGCCGCCTGGGGGGCAGGGCCTAGTGAGATCCTCCTCTGGCCTCCCATTCACGGGGACACCAGAAGCGGCTACCTGTTGGAAACGTTGATGATGTCACGAGTGCGCAGGCGCTGTTCCTCCACTTTGCCGGCCAAGTAAAGGGAAGACATGGCCACCAAGTAGGGGTCATAGGCGTCCAGGTCGATCTCGCAGAAGAACTTATGGTATATGGCACAGGCGGTGGCGATGGGGATGGACCGCATCCCTAGCTTGACACCTACCGAGAGAAAGCAGGCAGGGGAGTGCTTCATCCAGGGCTCGCCCCCTGCAAAGTGTGAGGGGAGCCGCCAGGTTGGGCCCTAAGGGTGCACATCCCTGTTCTGACAAGACCGAGAGCTCAGGGCCCAGCTGGCAGGGGCTGCCATGCCTTCCACTGGGTCCTCGACCTGAGGGATTTAGACGCGAGCTTCTCAGACTCTAACGTGCTAACAAGCCCCTGGGGGTCACGCTGAAGTGCAGCATTCCCTTCAGTAGCTCTGTGGGCTCCACGCTTCTCCCAAGCCTCAAGGCCACGCCAGGAGAAGCAAGGCTTCAAACTACTGCACCTGGCATATCCCTTTCTGCACATCTTGGAAAGGAACAAGTTGTGTGTCTGTTTCCACCTTAGCAGGCATTTAACTAGAGGTTGCCCCCACCTCTGCAGCTCACCTAACCAAAATCCTGCCAATGTGACAGGAGGAAAAAAGGTCTCTGAGCATCAAACAGGTGCCGCGAGTCCTGAGGTCATAGTTTAAGATTATACTCAGCACTGGTTTACTAACCCACAGGTTAGCAAAGGCAAGAAAAGCAAAGCAGGGTGACTGCCAAAGGCAACCGCCCGCAGAGCAGGAGAAAGGCCACAGCCAGGCTCGAGGGAAAAGGGAACAGAACTCAAAAACCAGAGCACGATGGTTCGATTTAGGGGTTAAAGCCCTAAATCCCCCCGACAGCTCCTAGGGAAATCACCGCATTGGGTCACAGAACCAAAACAAATTCACAATGACCAGGGTTAATAAGGGAAGGTTAAATGACACCCCATAGACTGAAAGAAGGTGGAGAACCACCGACAATCATTCGAATTGTGTTCAACATCCTCCACCTAGAAAGGCGTATTAGTTCCCCAGAGCTGCTGTAACAAGGCGCCACAAACTAAGTGGCTTAAAACAGCACATACTTTTTTCTCTTACAATGCCGGTGGTCAGAAGTCCAAAATGAGTCTTAGGGGGCTAAGTTCAAGGTGTCGGCAGGGCTGGTTCCTTCTGGAGGTTCCAGAGGAGAATCCACTCCCTTGCCCTTTCCAACTTCTGAAGCGCCTGCAATCTTTGGCTCACGGCCCTTTCCTCCATCCTCAAAGCCAGCGGTGCGGCATCTTCTAACTCTGCTTCCATCATCACGTGGCCTATCTACTCCTCCTGCCTCTCTCTCTAAGGACGGGTGTGATTATATTGGGCCCACCAGATAACCTAGGATAGCTCCCCGACATCAAGATGCTTAATCCCATCTGCAAAATCTCTTTTGCCACATGAGGTAACAGTCACAGGTTCTGGGAATTAGGATGGGGAAATCTTTGGAGGACCGGTATTCAACCTCACACAGAGGGCAAGGGCATATGCAAAACATTTCAGCATTAGCTTTTAGCATTTAGGTTTTAGCATTTCCAGGTTTAAACTTCAGTTTCATAGACAGTTCCTACATGGGACCCCTCATTCTCAGAGATGTCAGATTAGGTGGTATTACTGCACATGACCCTCCAAGTCTTGCCTTTTATATAGCAAACCCTCAAAGGGTAGCATGCGTCCCTGGTTCACATGGATCCTCCAAGCAGATGTATGGGGTATATGAGGAGGCACTGCCATCCTTCCTTATACACTTTGCAAAACTTCCTGGAAATTAAATGTACAAATCACTGGGATTAATGGTCCTGCACTATTTTCCCCAGACTCTGCCCACCTTGACTTGAAAGCGGACTCACCCAACGCCCTCAGAATGTATACAAAGTAACAAAGATCGCCCTCTTCGCCAGAATGTATACAAAGTAACAAAGATCGCCCTCTTTGGCAGAATGTATACAAAGTAACAAAGATCGCCCTCTTTGGCAGAATGTATACAAAGTAACAAAGATCGCCCTCTTCGGCGGAATGCATACAAATTAACAAAGATCAACAACAACGGAGCAAACCACTATTGATGGAAACAGTGTTTCTACCGGAATCCAATTAGCTACATCGCCTCGCCTTCGGACATAGAGCACCCAACACCACGGTGTGGATGCCCTGGCCGGGTTCAAAACGTGAGCTGCGCCCCGGCTCCTAGTTGTTTTGTTTTGGTTTTTTTTGGGGGGGGGGTTGTTTGTTTTTTAAACTTAAATTTGCCAGAGTTCCCTGTATATTTATTTATTTATTTACTGCGTTGGGTTCTTCGTGGCTGCACGTGGCCTTCCTCTAGTTGTGGCGAGCGGGGGCTACTGTTCATTGCGGTGCGCGGGCTTCTCACTGCGGTGGCTCCTCTTGTTGCGGAGCACGGGCTCTAGGCGCGCCGGCTTCACTAGTTACAGCACTGCAGGCCCAGCTCAGCACGGGCTCTAGGCACATGGGCTGTGCTGCTCCGCAGCATGCGGGATCCTCCCGGACCAGAGATCGAACCCGTGTGCCCTGCATTGGCAGGCGGATTCTCAACCACTGCGCCACCAGGGAAGCCCCTGGGTCCTAGATGTGATGGGACCTCGTCAACAAGGTTTGTCAGGAGCCTCACCAAGGGCATATGCTCCAAAAGGCTCCGTGTGACCAGGTGCCAGCGTCCCCGTATGCTGCGAGGCAGGTGTGTCAGAAGGCGCGGCACACTCAATCGAGATGCGGGCGCCCCGATTCCGCCACCTTCTAGCTGGGGCCTTCTAGTTTCCACATCCTCTCTTTGGACCTACGCGCCCGCCCATGAAATGGCCATGACCGCGTATGCCTCGCAGCTCAAAGCCTAGTATGTAGGGCGTGGCGGAAAGGCAGAGGCCGGTACCCCTAAGCCGAGCCTCCCAGCCTCCGCTAGGGCAGTGCAGGCCCGATCTCTTCCCTCCGCTCAGCCACGCCAGCACCGAATTTGGCGGGTCCCATCTTTCGGGAAGCGGATCCCCGCTACGCCAGCCCCTGCCTGCCTGCTCGGTGCTCCCGCGGCGGGTTGGGGCCAGCTGGGTGAAAGTGCAGCAATGCGGCTCTGGCTCCCACGTCCCGTCCGCGCGGGGCCCGCCCTCTTCCCGGCCGTGGTTACCTGCCTCCATGATGAACCTCGTCACTCGGAAGTGCACCCTCGCCTCGGGTGCTGGCCGCCCCTCCGCGCCCAGTGCCGCATCCCCTCCACCGCAGGTCCCCGGGCCAACTGCTTCCATGAGGTCCCGCCCCACGGGCCCAGATCCCCCACGGGAAGGAGAAGGGCCCCGACGCGAGGCGGCCGGCTCCCCGGGTGCTCACGGCGGGAGCGGAGATCCCGCCCCGCCCCGGCCGGCCCGCCCGCCCGCCAGCCCGCCAGCCCGCCAGCCCGCCAGCCAGCCCAGCCCAGGCCGGCCCGCCCGCCCCAGGGTGGGTAGCGCAGCTGTCCGCCAAAGGCGGGTCCGGCCGAATACGCAGACTCAAGCTCAAGCGCAAGCGCAGAGGCCGAAGGCGCCCGCCCTGTCCCCTAGATGCAGCAAACATCTCCTTTGGAGCCGACGCCCCGCCCCCGAGAGGCTGACGCCCCGCCTCCTGGAGACTCACGCTCCGCCCTCGGGAGCCGAACGGCGGCAACCGGAACCGGCGGGGTTACTCCTCCAGGGTGAAGTGACGTTACAGTCCTAGGATCAGGGCACGAAAATATCACCCTCCCCGGCACCTGAGCTACAAGTCCCTGCTGTCCGACTAAGGTGTGCCTCCGGGCTGGTGGCCCCGCGTGGTTCAGGACGGGGAGAGCTGGCTGTCTGCCAAGCCGCGGCGGGGGCCGGGGGCGGGGGGATCGCTTACCGGAGCTCACATCGGTGTCTCCCAACTAGAGAAGACGTGGGGTTCAATGTCAGTGTTCGTAAAACCCGAATCCAGGTTTGTCAGAGTTTCCCAGACCTACAGATGAGCCCTGAAGGGAATGCTGTGCACGAAATGAGGGCATGAGGGCTGTTTGTGTCAGGGTTTTCCAGGGGCCCAGCATCCCTTGGGGATTTGGTTGCTGCTGGACTTTTCAGCTTGGCAGCACAGTGGGAGCTTAATAAATGTTTGCTGAATGAATGTTGTTGAATGTCCAGCTCACAGTGGCTTCCCACGTTTCGTTTGTGTCTTCCACAAGTAGGAAACTGTGCGTCAGGAGTCAGGCATGTAGAACACCAAAGGGACGCCCAAGCTAGTGACAGACAGTTACTCTGGGCATTCTGTTACAGTCAGACAATTGCTATGATTTGAGAGAGCTGGGAACGTTGAGAGGAAAAAAGCCACCTTTTCCCACCCACCCACTCAGGCCAACCTTAATCTCCTTCCTCAGCCCCCACCCCCCTACTGAGCTCCCCCTCCCCCAGCCCTCTCTCCACACCAGCTGGGTTGGTTTCCTGGCGCGGCTGTAACAAATGACCAGCAACCTACGTGGCTTAAAACAGTAGAACTTTATCCTCACACGACTCTAGAGGCCAGATGTCTGAAATCAAGGTGTCACCAGGACCATACTACCTCCAGCTTCCGGTGGCCCCAGACATCCCTTGGCTTGTGGCCGCATCACTCCAGTCTCTGCCTCCCTCCTCACGTGGCCTCCTCCCTTGTGTCTGTGTCTCTCCTTTTCTGTCTCTGTCCAGGGCAAGGGGCAGACCCTCTGGGCTGAGTACCTCTGTGTGGGCATGCGTGTGCACGCGTGTGAAAGGGCTTGGGGGCCCCAGCCTCCTGGGCTGCTGACCCCTGTCATGCCTTGAGCATTCTGTCACTGCTGTCTGTCCCTGGGCCGGGAGCAGCGCCACCCTCTCCCCTCCTAAAGGGGCTGTGGGTCTTGGGATATGGGTCCACTGCCTCCGAGCTCCCCACACCTGTGCATAATGCAATGCCCCCCCAACGCACGCACACACAGATGCACGCACACGAGTCAGACACTCCCCCCACGTACACTCAGGTGCACATGTGCACACGCACGCACACACCCAGATCGTATCACTCTTCCCTCTGGCCCCTGGCCCAGGGGCCTGCCTGTCACCTCCTGGCCCACTGTTTGCTGGTTCAACAGCCCTGCTGGGACCCCTCCTTCTCCCCTGGGCCTTCTGTAGTGTGAGGAGTCTGGGCTCAGTGAGCAATAGGTACCTGTGACTGTGACTCAGGGGAATGACTCAAAGAACACATTAACTTTGAAAGCACTGGGTCATAGGGCACCTCCTGGCAGGAAGCCTGGGCACAGTGGTTGATAAATGAATCATTCACTAGCCACCAATTGGAGCCAGCAAACCTCGAGGCACTGTCTCCTCTCCCACGGGCAAGCCACACCCACCACGGGGACCCTCCCTTCCCTGCCACCTGTCACCACTCCCAAAGGTGGCATCTCCACTCTCGTCCCCCCTCCCCTGACCTCACCTGGGGATCATCTCCAGTCCCTGCACAGAGAGAATTCTGATATTGGCCAACGCCTCCTTATCTACCCCCTGACTGTGCACCCTGACACTAAGTAAACCTCAGCCTCCTTCTCCCGAAGGTGCTGTCACCTAACGAGGGAGTGAACGAGTAGGTCACGCTGAAGCTCACAGGATGGGGCAGAGAAGGGGCAGAGGTGTGCAGGGTGCAGAGGAAAGCCTGTGCCCACGTGGTCTTCAAAGGCAGGGGTGATCTCTAAAGTGCCCGCCCTGCCCACCTCATCCCCAGGGGCCTCCACCCGAGGAGTGGTCAGTGGAAGCACAGCCTGGTCCAAGGCCAGCCCTGCCACTTGTCCCTGGAAACTTCTCTTTCCACTGTCACCACTTCATCCCTCCCTCCCCCCTCTCCACTCGCACCTTCCGGGCCAGTGAGGGCAGGTGCTCAAGCCTCCCTCTCCCCATAGGCAAGCCCAGCAGCCTCCCTCTGGGCCCCTCTCCCCGCCCCCACTGCCCTCTGCCCACCCACCCTTCTCAACACCACATCCCTGAAGCCACTCGTGTCCCTGGATCCCACACTCTGCCCTTGGCCCCCACCCCGCATATGGCCTCTGCCACAGGAGACTGTCCTCCCACCCCACCCGCACCCCATCCTCATCTTAGTCTGTTCAGGCTACCATAACAAAACACCACAGACTGGGGGGCTTATAAACCACAGACATTGATTTCTCACTGTTCTGGAGGCTGGAATTCCAAGGTCAAGTTGCCGGCACACTCAGGTTCTGGGGAGGACCTTCTTCTGGGGTGCAGATAACCAACTTCTCGCTGTGCCCTCACATGGCGGAAGGGGCAAGGGAGCTCTCTGGAGCCTCTTTTTTTTTTAATATTTATTTATTTGGCTGTATCGGGTCTTAGTTATGGCATGCGGGCTCTCTAGTTGCGGCGGGCAGGCTTAGTTGCCGCGCGGCAGGTTGGATCTTAGTTCCCCGACCGGGGATCGACCCCACGTCCCCTGGACGTCCTTAACCACTGGACCGCCAGGGAGGTCCCCAGAGCCGCTTTTATAAGGGCCCTAATTCCACAGGGCCCTGCCTCATCACTTCCCAAAGGCCCCACCTCTCGGTACCATCACCTTGGGCCTTCGAACTTCACCATATCAGTTTGGGGGAGGGCCCATTCGGACCATAGCACTCGCCAAGGTCAAGTGTCACCTCTGAGCTGCCTCCCACCCGCAGCACTGGTTGCAGTTGACCGCTTACTACAGGGGCTGGCTCCGTACTTGGATGTCTCACTGCCGACAGCTTGGAAGCCTCATCCCCCCGGTCCCCTCATGCCCCACGACTGGGCAAGCTGATCAGAAAACCCGGGGGGCTCCCTCCTTTGGCACCAGAGGGGAGTTCAAACCCCACCCAGGAACCCTCACCCCAGCCCCACCCATGACAAAGAACCCCACCAGTCTCCTTTCCGTGCTCGCAAGCCATTTGCCCACCACCTTGGGGGCCTCAGTACCTGAGTAAGGAACCCTTTCAGAGCCTCCTGGTGAGTGTGGACCATCCGTCTCCATATCCAAACCAAATTTGGGTGGGGGTCCATCCTGTCACCACAGAGTGACCACAACACACGCCTCCCCGCCCCCAAACACTTTCTCCTGGCTCCTCTTCTCCCCTCCCCCATCAGCAGAGCGCCTGGTGAGCCTGTAGCCTTGCCCTCCCCCCACCCCTCCCTCTCCAGACAGAGCGACTTTTGTAAAAGCGAAGTCTGATCAGTGCCCTTCCCTCTCCGAGCCTGCAGGAGCCATACTGGCTGCCAGAACGCAGCTCTGTTTACCTGGCAAGTCAGGGCTTGG